GAAATGGGCTATTTTTCTATTTTCTTTAATAATGGTCCTAGCCAGCTATAATTAGATTCGTTCGATTCCGTAGGCGACAAGGAAGAATTTGTATATCTCAGAATTTCGGAAAACTCCCTAGTTTTCGAGAAAATCGAAATTTTAGTTTTTCGTAGTTCCGCCGCTCTCCGCTAGATGGCGCCACCTGTACCGTTTTGGACCGATTTCGACAAAAATTGATTTTCTGGCTTTATTAGGCATTAAAACGCATCAAACCCTAATAGAAATTTGTTTCTAAATGCCTCAGGAACCATACTACGTCGTCAAAGTGCCGAAATATTTATTTTTTTATTTCGCTTATATGCGTGTTCGGACCCTCATTTTTTAGGATTATTTCACCCGTTTCTCCGACGTCTATGAGGATCAGTTTTTTCGCTCGCCTTCGGCTCGCTAGCTCAATAATTTATTTTTTAATATTTTCAACTTGGTAGCATTTACGAAACGTTCCAAACCGATTTACAATGCACGAATGCCTATGGAAAGTGGTGGACATCTCTTCCTTTTGGACGCCATTTTCCCCAAGAAAACCGGATATACATTCGAACGTATATTACATAGCGATAAAATGCGTTACACAATTCTTTTTGTTGCAAAAAATCAAGACAATAATATTTGCATAGAAATACAATTTATACACATTTATATAGAAATTTTTTTCTGCATTTCACTGTTCACTTCAGAAGCAACTTGAGTGAACAAAAGGTTCCAATTCCATACTTCGTCTGGTTCTTTCACAAGACTTTCATTGTACAATTTCTCCGCGAGCAAGGAAAGATTGACACCGTTAAGAGACGTGAATGCAGCGTTTTTTACCAAATCCGTGTCAAGTTCTTTGTATGCAGCAACCCTATTTACATTAATCCTGCAACATAACGAATCGCATCTAAGTAATTGGGTGAAAAATTAAAAAAAATTTCGTATCTATACGTACGTAGGCGCATTTATGTCAGATAAAGCATTGTCTTCTTGAATTTCATCTAAATCTGGTATAATAGGGATATCTATAAACAGCATAAAATGTAAATAATTCTGAAATATTTCAGTAAAAATAAATAAAAAATAAAAATTCTTACCGTCAACCAATTCATCCTTTTCCGTAGGTCGCGAACGTTCCCTAAGAAATGATCTATCAGTGACTATAGATGTCTAAGTATTTAATTCGAACTGTTATACTCACTGTTCAATGATATTCGAAGAACCTCGGGTTCTGAAATTGGAACACGGAAGAAAGTAATCAGGAATGTTCTTTAGTAAACGAGACAGAAAGATATTATAAAAAATACTTACTTCGCACTTTTTAATTCATCACCCCATCCGGTTTTTCTGGTGCGCGGTGGTACTACAGGTGGTTGCGATTTCCCGGAAGATAGCGATAGCGGACTTTCCAAAAGATCATCATCCAATTTCGACTCTTCTTGTATGTTACTCTGTGTCGATCGTCTACCGAGACGAGGTAAAAGCTGAAAATTTGATCTCTATAAAAACAAATAAATAACTATAGGTGTACCTATACAGTTACTGCAATTATATTCAAAGATGATATCACGTATCCTGAAGTACGTTATACAAGAATAATAAAATAAAAGAATTCATATAAAAAAGTACTTACTTTCTTTGAGGTTATTTCTAACTCTGTGGCCCAATCCATTGAATTTTAAGAAGCAATTCGCTCGATGAAACTTGTGTTTGCTAGGAGTAACCATAACAACTAGTTACCTTACTACTGATCCCCATATTCACCTGATTCCCCTTCTTCGCTTCAGGAAACATAACAGGAAACGCCAGGTTAATAACATCTTTAAAACCGGTTTCAGTTTTCGCGCCTTTTTTATACTTGAAAAGAATAGAGAACTGTTATTGTTTCTATGGGTAAACTTCGGAATATCGTCATGTTCTTACCAAATTTTGCAAACAAGCTTCTTACCTCAAAAGTAAATATTTGTAAGAACGTTTCTTAGCGACTCGAACGAAAAATTTTTCCCATTTTAAATGTTATTTTCTATATTACCGACGAGAAATAGTATAGTGTGTACTCTCTTTCCATCGTTGACCGTTGGATGGCGCTAGCCGTGCCATTATGGCGGCACATTCCAATGCGCTCCTAACATTCTCCTCATCTGTCCCTTATTCCTTCTCTCCTTTTCATTCCTCTCCTTTTAGCATCTTTCCGCCACACTGTTTCCTAGAAGCGCGGGCGTAAATTCCTTTTGTTTCTCTACAGAGTAGTTTCTGCATTTTAATGTTTCACATTTTAAAAGGGAACGTTAGGCAATTAAAGAAACAGTTCAATCACAAAATGTATATTATTTTCTCATTTATTATTTTTGCCAGCTGCTTTGCGTCATAAGAAGATCACTTAAGCAGCAGCTACACATAATTCGGTGAATACAGTCTTATTGTGGGTCAGAAGAAATATGGCAATCGTTTCCAAATACACTTAAAATCTAGTAGTGCTTAGTATCGTCTATTTGTCGCTGGTATTCCTCGTCGTCAGGATTCGCTTCGCAGCCGTTATCGTTGTTTGGTGGTCTCACTCCGTTATACCTGAAGGCAGAAACTATCGTACATTAGTACAAAGAATATATCCTCCATAACTGTGATTTAAATTAAAGAATTGAATATAGTCAATCTGTAGAATTATCTCTACAAAAGATTGATAATAACGTTGAAAGTTTAACCTGGAAAAGTCCCCTTTGCATAATCTCCAAGGAAGTATATCAATTCTCTCGTGCAGTATGGGCGATATTTCAGGACTGACAAAGTTCGGAGTACCCGCACCGGAACCACGGGTCAAAAGTTTCCTACTGCGATCGTAGCAACAGTGTTGTGCCGCGGCACTTCCGCTTCCTTGCGTTAGCAAAGAACGTATACAGTAAGTAGCTCCTGGTTTGTAAATGTCCAGCCTCTGAGAATTACCGCTTACGTCTCGCCATCTGAAATATTTCTTCTGCTTCTCGTCCCAAATCTTGTCCTCGTAAAATATGTTGCTAGGATACTCGCAAGGACAGGCAGGTAGCGAGATTAAACCACCTGCAATATCATCGTAAACTTTCGTCATAAAATAGCATGGACTTTCGTATATCTGCTATTCCAACTGGCAAAGAGCAACGCGGCAGCAATATAACGAGTATAAAGCATCAGGATTTTTTACCTAAAGACACTTTCTCGAGTTTTTCTTTACTGTTCAACCACTTCTGGCAAGGATCCTCGTTCGTCGCATTCACGAAGTTCAGTTCCTTGAAGATATCCTGGCCCTTCGTGGTTGAAGCGTTTCGTAGACTCTGGAACAATTTACTTAACAGTGCGCCTAAACTTTCAGGCATCTCGACTTGGTCCTCGACATAAAATGGCGAAGGGTATGCATCCTCCTTGTAATCGATGTTCTCCCCGATTTCATTCTTTTTCGACTGACTCTTCGTGTTGGATGTTGCTTCTACCTTTTCTAACTCGATCTCGTCCGAAAGAACGTGCTCATCGTACGCGTCTGTTAGATCAGATTCCGATACATTGTCAATGACAGAGGAATTTTTATTGGCGTTAACAGTTTCTTTTACATTGATTTTACCTTTCTCTTCGATAATTTCGGTAACGTCGTAATCTTCGTTCTTAATTTTATGCTCCGTGCTATTGCTTCGAGGAAAGAATCGATTCGTGGATGTACCCCGAAAACATGTCGGTCGATTTCTACAGCGACGTCGTTTCCGGTGTTTCGAGTGCCTCGTTGGTATCGTTTCTTCGATAATTTCTTCGCTCCTCTTGCTTCTGATCGATATAATCATCCACGAAGAAGAATTACTAAATCTCGATAGCGATTCTTCGGTCCTGACTTCTTGCAGCCCTCCATTCGTTCGGTTATCGTTTGTCTATAAAACAAATACGTGAAGTACTAAATATCGAGATTCTTAACTAAATTCCAGGATGGACCTGATGAAAAATAGAATAATTGAGATATTTCCAAAGTTTACTAGTTACGCCAATGATAACGAGCGATCGCTTCTTGCTCTACCGTGCAGTGAGCTACGACTCCATTCAATCGCAGCTTCATTATATACAACTTCCAGACAATGTTATGTAATTTGCAAAGTACGAGGATTTGTAAGAGCGTATCGAAATCTATGAGGCTAATAACGTTGAACATACACGAAATCACGTAACGAACTGCAACCGTAGACAACACCGGAGAAGGGCAACAGTCGGCACGACATCAAAAGAGACCGTGTTTGGCTCGTGGATGAGATACGGGCTCGCGAAGGGTAAAGGGACGCGGCAATACACGCTGGAATGGAATGGAGCGGAATGGGATACACTCAACGATCTTACAGACCGAACGTTTCTACTTCTTGGAAGCGTCCGTTGCGAGATCATTTCTTATTCAATGGCGTAGCAGCCAATCACCTTGTAAATGAAATTTCAATTTCCCGCCTTCCCGTTGCCCAGCAAAATTAATTGACTATCCTACGTCTCCGTATTTACACGGAGGACACAGGGTTATTTTTTTTATCCAGCTCATAGAAAAATAATTCTGTAATTTTACGCATGAAGATCTAGAACAAAACGTTTCCGTTACACGCACAATAGTTCCGAATAAAAATGACCCTGCTTCTGTATCACTCCCTCAACATCGATCCTTGAAGGGTTAATCACTTTTACCGACAGAATTTACAAACAAAATGAGAAGTAACTCGGATGTAAATCGATTTTGAAAAATGCGATTACTTACCCGATTAATGTCAGCGTGTCTCGCAGAAACGATCAAGATCGATTGCAAAAGGAATGTCCAACAAATCAAGACCGAGGCCTTCATGTTTGTCATCGACGATCGATACGCACGTTCCTCATAATGTTTGTCCCACGTTAAGCGAGCTTCAGACGTACGAAAACACGGGATATCGTTAAATGTCCGTCGACGCAAACGTTGTAGCGGATGAACTGGATGCTCGTCGTTTCATTCTTCGAGGACGTTTCTAGTTCGTTCTGGAAGAATTCGAATTCGAGCGGTAAGGACGTTTCCGCGTGGTCGTCGGCCTCTTTTGTTTACGAACGCGCCGCGTCGGAACGATCGACAAGGTGAACTCGATCATCGATGCAACCTTCTCCGGGTGAAGAACAACGATAATGGAAGGGAGACGATAACGCGGACAAAGAAGGCGCAGAAAGAAAGGAAAAAGGAAGAGACAAGAACGGAAAGGAAAAGAAGAAACGCGAGGCACGAGGCATCAGGCAGCAAACCGCGCACCGTTCAAAGGCCTACCACTATATGTATAGTTGTGAACTCGTGAAGTTCTTGTCCCACTATAATGGCCCAAGCGGATAGTAGCGGAGAGGTTGGAGAGGTAGCGCGCCGGATGACAGAACACTACGTCATTGTACGGGCGGTACAGTTCACAGCTTAAGGCTTAGGGTTTCTTACTTATGTTAGCGGCAGCTCCGCTCCTATTGCTTTTCTTCCTTCCTCCTGCGTCCTTTCATTTCACTGCGCTCTTCTTCTTTACTCCCCCTTTTGCCGTGCGTCGCCTTAACCCTTCTTCAGGTAGGGTACGATTTTACCGCGCGGAGGCTGTATCTGCGTTATTGTGCTGCCTACTGTCGGTATTTAGCGACAGACAGAATTAAATTCGATGTTTGTTGACGATACAATTAGTTTTGAATTGGCATGCGAAAAAAAGCTTGCGTGTTACATCGTACTAACGACAGTGTCTTAATCCTCGTAATAATTAACCGAGGGTTATTCCGTCCTAAATTCGCGTTTACTCTCCTTCGTTCGACTGCTTTTCTTTCTGCTCCAGCAACTTAATTAGAAGAATCTTTATCGAACGACGACTACGAGCGTATCCGGATACGTAAACGCGAAAATAAGATGAAGGTATTTACACGGGTCGAACAACACTTGGTATTACGCTACCAAGGATCTAAATACAGCGGTGGAATGCAACGGAACGCGTTCCGGTTATTTTTAGACAGGTAGATTCGAAAATACACCCACCGTGGATTAAATATAACTGGAGATGCACGCGCACGGAATGCGGCACGATGGCACGCGAACGATCGGACCCTCGCAAATATGCAAATTCCCGTGGCGAAGACGCGACGTTTTGCCCCCTTTCATTGCGTTCATCGAAATTTATCTATTTATACCTAACCCACACCTGATACCACTATCTTCGACTCTGCATTCGTTTCACCATCAATGCCAATCGTTGCAACTATAAAAGGAACTCGTATCCTGAGAAATAAATAAAAGAATCGATATATGTGTATTTATACGAAGTGAGTCATGCAATTGAAAGTTTGCATTCTGTTTACATAGAATGCTTTAACAAAATAATTGATTAAACGATGATGCCTGTACTTTTACTGTTTTGGAAATAATTGTGTAGATAGATTAAAATGAAACACCGTGTATTCGATGAACGAGAATGAAGAGCAGGTAGAACGGCTTAAATCGCGACAAACCCTAAAATTATTTCTTCGACAAATTGACCGACTCCGTAGGAGGCGTGGGTGGTGAGTTATGCTGGAGCGATTCTAAAGGAGACTAACGAGAAAACAGGAAGACATAGGTGGTCAATCGAAATCTCTTAATCATTACGCTCGTTGTTTCGCCGATTACTCATGGCGGGAAACGCAGCTTGATATCGAATCTTGAATCCACATAGTTCTAACAGAATCGTTAAACTAATCTGTTTACTTGTATCTACTAGCACAGAAGTGAGTCAGAAGCCGAGTGGAAGGAAAAATCGAATGGAAATTTAGAACGGAACTTGTTCACGATCAGCAAGGATTTCTTCATGAGAAAATATTCGATTTAGTCGCAGTTTTGTTTATTTACTCGTAAATTGTCGAACGGTAGGAGGAGAGAGAAGGGGTGGAAAATAAAAACGAGTCGTAGCATTTAACACCGGTAGCACTTACATTCCACGACTGCCTTTCTGCATCCAATGGCGCCAAAGTCATCGTCTCGGCCACCGTTACTGTCGCGTTCATTTTATTGGCTCGTTAGTAAAATTTACACCTCAATTACCCTGTTTGACGCGACAAAATTTTCTTCTTTCAAACAAAAAGGAGGAAGAGAGAATAAAAATACTCCATTATATTACCCTTATGATTCGATTTCTTTATTTTCACGATTCTCCGTTTATTGATTTAAAAATTTGGGAAACTGCCTCCTGTATTGTAGTAATTTATTTCCATCGCGTACTACTTACTTCGACTCGATTATAAACAAAGAATTGAAACGAGTTATTCGCAATGAAAATAACACATTACCAAGTATAAGGATTATAAACCAAAGTTGGGAATGAAAAATAAGGAGTAAACGAGCAAATATTGGATCAGCTTAAATACTTGTTTTATTTGTCGTAATTAAAATATAAATAACTCTAACGTTTCAGATACATCATTATATACAATGTTCAATTCGACTAATTCCCTATGTGTGATTATAATAATTTAATGACGATACAGGATACGATATAGACACGTGATAATCATTGATAAAGTATGATCCTACGCCAGTTTCAGGAATGTTCTTATGTACAAAAGTTGGGACGTCACTTGAATCTCTAGGAATGACTCTCGTACTAATACGTAAAATTATCATTTTTCTTTTTTTACGTGATACATGCATTCTTTAACACACACACACACACATTTTGTTGCACGCGTCCACACATCCCCCCTTTCCTTCAATACGTTTTACGTATTGTGACTTCCTCGGACTACTACATTTTCAGCGAAAGATAAGCTAAAAGAAGAAAGAATGTGCCTCTCCTTTCTTCATTGGCGGAAAAGAACAGAACTGGTCACGCGAACTCTGAACAACAAGGTACTTTAACAACCGGAAGTCTGTTAACACGTTGGTTGTCATAGTAGGTTAATTTTCAATGTTGAACTGTCAGTTTGGTATCTTAATTATCGGTATAAGCTTTCCTCTTTCAGATATATGTAACTTTGAACCATCAATCAATGACCTCCATGACAGAGAACGTAGTAACTTCTTTCGACCCGACTCTTTTCGCACGGTTCGAAAAATATTAGGTTACAATTTTCCTGATAATGATCGGAAGAAAGTTGTGTATAATAAGCTCGTGATAATTTCATAGATCGACCGTACACGGTGTCGTATCGAAATTAGTAGACTTTAATCATCGGTTACTGAGAAACTGAATTGATTTCCGATAGCTAGCAATTCATCCGGAACGACCGAAATAATACAATTTAGTGTAACATTCAAAATGACCTTGATAACATGGATTACTCGTTGAAGGATAGAGCGGGTAAACCGTTAGTGACATCCGCAACGATCCGCGATCATGTCTTGGTAATTTTTCAAAACGACATTTTCATGGTCGTCGAAGAAGAGAATAGTAGTGTCCAGAAGTTTGGTGGGTACGCAACAAGGTCTCTCGACTCCTTTGACAAGTCCCATTTTGTGAACGATTCCTTGAATGGTCGCATGATTCGTTGGCTGCTGATCCTGGCTCAGTGGCGACTCGCAGATGCCTTTGCAGTGATAAGCCGAATAACCAACCGGGGCGATGATGGAAGAAGACAGACCGATTTCTTTAAAATCTACGTACAGCTCGTGCCTCGAACATTCGGTAACGTTTTGTTGAACAGACGCGTGGCTCTTTATCGCTCGTTTGTCTCGACGCTGTTCCTCCCTGGATCGAGAAGTCGATGCCTGAAGTGTTTCTCGATGCATCGCTCTTTTATAAATGTCCATGGAGGTTAACGTCTCCTGGAACGTTTCTTCGTGCAGTTTCCCCATGGAGATTCCTCTACGTCTTCTGGATATTTCTTCGGCGTGTTGTTTCTCTGTTACAGCGTCGGATTCTTCTCCTTGCGTTCTTTTTTGTCTCTGAAAGAATTCAGAGTTGTCCTCGCTTGCCCACCGAGCTTCTTCCGGCTGACCCTTCCGTTTCTCTACACTTTTGTCATTCTTCAAATCGATCTTTTCCTCCTCGTCATTGTAGGACACTTCTCCCTCGATTTCGTTGTTGTTACCATACGTGTAGTAACGGGGAACTGTTTTTTTATCACCGCGATGATTTTTTCCATCGTCGTCGAATAGCACTAAGATTGGCTGCTTGCTGTACTCGTGATGATACTCGTGGTGATACTCGTTGCGGCGATAAAACTCCACGCTCACTTGGTCGTCGAGCAAAGTGGAGGCTGTTACTAGAAGACCGAGATTCGGCTCGCCGGCTAACCAAGCGAGAACCGCTTGCTTCACGTTGAAAATCTGAGGAATGTTGTCGTCGTGAATTAACGTCTAATCGAACGATCGATTAGATTCGTCGGAAATAAAATTACTATTAACTAATTCAGAAAGTATTCATTCGAAATTTCTAAAATAAAATTAGCTACCGCCCGTAATCCGAAAATTTTTATCTTATCAAGACGTACCTGCCAGCCGGACGCGTATGCGCCAACATATCTGACGTTTAGCAGCCGATGTAGATCCGGCACGTCCAAACTCCTCTCGTCCAGAACTTGATACACTCTTATCTAAATAGAACCGCGCTTAATAAAAAAATTTTCTGAAAAATCAGCAACGTTCAACGACTTACCAAATAGTAAGGAGATTCCAAAATCGACTTCTGAGCGTGAACATGGTGCAAGGGTGTCCTCTTACGATAGAGATGAAGCTCAGCCTCCAACACGGATTCGTTCACTTCCAGCCCCGTGATGTTGAAAAAGTAAAATCTTGACATTGATGTATCTACGAAAACTGTTTACTTTAACTAGGATTTCGATAAACGGCGAACACTCGAATAGAGGTTTACCTCTTTCGATGAAACTGCGAACAACCTTGGCATTGTACGGATTTCTGCCTCGCGTAACACCGCTAGGATCCGCCACGTTGTTGTACAAATTCATCATGAATTGAGGAGGTATCTTACGACGTCCCGTTTTCTCGCCGTGACTTCGAATACCAAGAACCTGCAACGATTTTGACAATCGGTTAACGTTGATCTCGTGTTTCCAAACTGTGTTCTTCGTGTCAAAATACGTCGCGTATATCTGAAACTGGACACGGACCTGTTGCAATTTCTCCAGAGCTTCGCCTCGACGAGTGTCGTGCCCGCTTCCGTCGTTCAAGTCAGCCAGGGACCAAGAGTCGGCGACTTCTTCGTCGTCGCCGTCGTCGTTTTCGGGGAAACCGCTCGGATGAGCACGCGCGTCGAAACGGTTCGACAGGAACAACAACGCCAGAAAAAGGAACGGAACGTTTCGTGTCATCGTGTTCGTCTTTGGAGAACGATTAGCTCGGATTTTTCTCGAAACACGACAAAGACAGTCCTGGGTTCGGTTTTGAGAATAGACCGATAGCAACGTCGAACATCGATCGAACGTACGGTTCGCGACAAACGATTCTTATCGGCGAAGAAAGGAACGGACACCTTCTCTCTGTTGGCGGACAGGAGGTTTGCCGAACCGAACGGAACGCTAAGTAGCATATGGGAGGTCTTGGCTGCGAGGAGTCACCTTTATGCTATGCCGGGAGTTGCCTCCCCCGCGTTGCTCCCCGCGCGACATTGGCTTCTCTCACGGGACACCGACGCGACTCGACATTGTTGCGCCTCCACGATGCGTTTCTTCCTCTACCAGATCGATTTTTGTCAGCTTATAGCATCCTAGATCATTCGCGATCATCCTTCTCGTCCATTATCCTCCCCTATCGCAATTACGAATTAGTTGTAACAATGTACAAGTTTGTAAAGAAATTCTAACGGGATACCGAGTAAGATTCTATCTCAGGAGGGGGTCACCGACAAAATACTATCGTCTACGAATGATACCGGAGTTTTCCAAAAAGTGGTACGAACTTAGTGGTAAATTACGAATTGATTTTGAGCGAGTCGCGTTCAGTATTAGAGTATAAAATATTTAAATCTAGTAAAACGACGATTGTAATGAAAATCACTGTTTCGGATATGTTTTGTTTGTACAGATTGTACGCGATACCTTTTTGAGGCAAACGAAACGAAGGAGGAACGTGACGATGACACGGCGAGGCTATTAAAAACAGCTCACGCTTCCTAAATTCCGTAGATTCGTAAGTGGCGAGTTATGTGGCCCCGCAGCGATATTTAGATGTCGCGAATAATCGGTTGTTTTCCGACGAGGACGATGACGGATCGCGAGGGTGTCACCGAGTATTTTCGCCCACGCGTTCGGAAACCGACCACGACTTTCGGCCTCGATCTTTTTGTTGCATTATTTCGACGAATCGCAGGACGGAACGAGGATAAGAGAATAGTTGCAAGTGCGGAATTGGACATTATTACGTGTCGTTACGCCTCACGATCGAACGATCAAATTAATTATCTTGGAAGGTGGAACGAATTCTGAAACAACGTTCTTCTCGAAAAATTAGCTCGATTACCATGAAACTCGTGGAGTCATCCGACAGAGTGTAATAGCGAAAACTAAGTGGAACGAATGGAACATAGTGAGCGTGGAGCAGTTTTAGGTAGCCGTTGAGATTTTCTAAAAAGACATCGTACGTTTATTTGTCATACCAATACACGGTGTATGTAGGAACATCGAAACACTTGGGTACTTTATGTTTACGCGACGCATAAAATACTTTAAATTCCTCCTCGGTCTGTGTCCACTGATCTGCTCGATTTGACGACAGACCTCTCTGACCTGTTCAAACACAGGCGCATTGAGTGATTTGTATAATCTCCCTCTTCGATCCTCGACGAGTCCTAAAACGTATCAACGGCCAAACGATTGCCGGATAAGTATAAATAATTATATTTTTATCTACGTAATCTATAATCGAGTACCTGTACTCGTGAACTTTGAATCTCGCCGGTGTGCAGGTATGTTGCTTCGTGTACAAGCCAGCCAAGCACCTGGACGGTTCCTTTTTGTCTCGTAACAAGCACATTTCCGTCTCGTTTCCTGGACACGTTCCGACGCACTGCCCGACGTTAATTTGCTGCTCGCGCCAAAGAAAAATCATCGTTACGTGATCGTTCTATCGATGTCTATGATCTTAGAAAAAGAGAAATTTACCCGAATAACCGGCCTAACATCCGTCGTATTTGTACCGTCCTTAATCTCCACTTCGCTAAAATCTAACACGGTCTCCATGTGATCCATTTTGTGGCAGGTCCCAGCGCAACCACATTTCTCTATCACCTGATACACTTCATCCCCTGAAAAATTCTTTTCCAATCTACGAATCCACTCCGACTACAAGAAATTAGTAAGACGTTGTACGTACCGTTTGGTCCTTTGATACTGACCGTCCCGTTCCTCACTGGTTTACATCCGAGATCTAGCAACAAATGTATATCGGTGTTACTAATAAAAAATGGTAACTGTAACTTCATTACGCGGAAAAGCGATTAGATACCTTTAGCACAATGACCCATGCATATACCGACATCCATCACCGCTTGATGAGGAGTGCCGGAATGTACAAGATGAGTGAAGGATTCGCGTCTGCAGGAAGTATCTGCTGTACATTCGCAAGCCTCTATAACTTCGATAACGCGGACACCTTGAATCGTGGATACTCTTTCTAACTTCACGGCTCTAGGACGGCAGTGTGACTCCAGGAAGCATTTCTGGAACGAAGCGTGACAAATTACGTTCAACGACCATGATTACGATTAACGAGGAACATCCAAAGAACATTCTTCGCGAGTTACCCATCATTGTGATCTGAAAATTAACGTTCCCACGATTTTCAACGATCTTGTACGATCGTTAATTGGAGAATTTTACTATGCGTCGAAGGTTACTAATTATCGATTACAGGTTTTCTACGTTTAATTAGTAGAAAGCAACGGGGGTAATTATTTGGTGTAAAAACGAAAGATAATCGCAGAGAGAAAAAAGAACGCGCTGGTGGAATGGTTGGCCATGTATCAAGGGACGCGAACATTCTCTCGATACAGATGTTGGATGTAAACGAAACGAGCACGCGGTTTCACAGAATTCGTACTTTATTTCTTCCTACGTTTGCCAGGCAAGAAGTATCGACGCTGTCTCGAAGGAATTTATATTATTCGCGCGCCTCGTTATCTCCGGTTCGGACGGTTTTCTTTGGTACTCGATTTCATTCGCGACCCACCGGCCATTTAATTATTCTCGCTGCGGGATAACTGACCGTTATCTTTGTCCGTGTAACCCGTCCAGCCTCTACCCCTTTCTCTCTTACCCTCCTCCGGCGATATTTCTGGCTAAGAATATTTTCTAATAAATTCCATGCTCAGGTACATCCATCGTCGAGATCCCAGGAACACGATTCGGGATTTAGTAGCTGGCCAAGCTGGCGCCAAGAGCGGTGACCCGGGACGATGCGACCTTCCAAGGACGCAAAACACATCCTCTCCTTCTGCATGTATCGCGTGCAATGTTTTTCTCCTTCTCGAGCTTGCTTCTCTCCTGCAGCGTGGGTGCTGCAAGATCGTAAACCAACGATCGGGTTGCATCACGTGACGAAAATAGCTTTCTTCCCAAAAAAGAGGAACCATTACGACCAAAGGGACGTTCTTGAATGCCTGTGTTTCTTCGTTACGGTAATTGCTCTCGCATCATTTCCAAGTAATTATAAAACAAGGATCATTTTGCATAATGTTTTCAAAGTGGGCTATGTTACCGACCCTGATTTCCCTTTATAATATAAGCCTTGCATCGTTAAGTATATGAATTGGAACTGCAGAGTCATGAGATACCCGATTACAAAGTATTCGAAGGATACCTGAATGGATGAGGTAGTCAAGAATTTCAACGTGGAAGCTGATCGTCTTCGGCTCATTTTGCAAATGCCGACAATGCAAATCATTCTGAGGCACATAACTTTTTCGCCTAACATTGGAATATTATATTATATCCAGACGATTGTGGTCAAACCAGGTATTAGATACCTACACGACAAGGAACGCGTTAACCACGAAGGGTTCGTTACGGCGTCGATGGATTTTGGTGAATAGGAGATGGCTCGTACAAAAGAAGCATGATCATCGACGAAGATACACGCGTCTTGATACGGTATGGGGTGCGCTCGCCGTAAAAGTCGCGAAGATCGTACGAGATCGCGCGATGCTGGCGTGGCCGCATTCCAGCTGGCGGATTGGTCGATCCCATGCGTCATAAATCTACATGACGTTCCTGCCTTTTTCGCCCTTCGTATAGCCCTTCGCACACGTAGCCTGCCCCGGCAACGTATATCGCAACATTCTTTTTATTCTTTTATCCGAGAATTCGGTCTTTTCGTTTCTTTTTTTTCTTACTGCTCAAGTAGGAATCTTCAAGGCACGAACTTTGCCGTTCGATTCGATCTATTTCCTTCGCTATACGAGCAATCGTGGAATTAATGTCCTTAAACAGCTTTGAGAATTCTTAATTGTGAATTAAACGTTGCTATCGCGAATCAATCGAGACGAATTCGTAGGTCCCACGACCGGTTCGATAAACCCGCTGCGCCGCATCACTCGGAACGTTTTTGCACCAGGTGCATCCTACAGGCATGAGTCATGGATCCAACGATCTTTGCGTTCGACGAACCAAATCTTCGCGTCTTCTGGTACTTGAGCAAGTGTTGTATGTACAAACAAATAAGTTCAGAATTTCTATATGGGAATTCGTACTAGACTTTTATATCTGGCTTAATTATTAAACCATCAGAATCTTTTGAAAATATATATTTTCTTTTTAAATTCGTAAACTTTAAATGGCTTACACCTACATTATCTATCGAGTTGTTCGTAACGAGGACATACAACCAATGAATTTTAATTGTTTATTTATAGCAATGCAAAATAAACAAGTTATCAATGGATTCTAAACCAAGTGTTCGTTCTCAAAGCAATTTTGATGCGAATCATTTTTCAAAAATAATTGTAGGTACTAAATCATTTACCTGTACCGCGGGTCGACTCGCATCCCCAGGATCGTCCAAAACGTGTCGCGGACACAATTTACGACAATGGCCTGCATCGATCTGGATAACTTCCCCCGATATACCTGAGAACAGAAAAGAATGAGCGTGTAAAATGGTGATCCAACGGGGGGTGTGAGGTTCGATGAAATTCGGGTATATTCCGAACGATGTTGTTAACTGCATGGCCGAACGCGGCATCCGTGCGATGCGTCAGACGCGTGTAAATCCGATGGCGCCGCGGCTAATGCTCGCGATCACCGTACCAAATTTACGAGTTGTATCGCGTTAAACGGTGACACGATATATAAGAAGAGGGTAGAACCGCCTATATAGTGTAACTCGAGTTATTTTTGGCACAAACGCGTGGGACACGGAATGCGAGGATTCCGCGCTGATTCACGTTACCCTGAACCTTCGGTCACTCTCTTACCACCTTTCCGCGTTGCTCTATAGAAACGATACCCTCGAGCTATATCTATTCAAAATATCGTACGTAAAAATACGCCGGACCAATTAGAGAGTCTTTGCCTTGTTCCGACATGGGATCAAAGTTGGATGGAACTTTGTCACTGGTACATCGATCGAGGATAACAATCGTTGATCAACGAAACCGCTTAATTGATCATTGATGCCGACTCAAAGGGTGGTCCTTTTGACCGTTTCGCTGAACTGATCTTCTGCGAAACATTAATTCTTCGTTCGTCCGAGGATTAACTTTCTGCGAATCGAACATCGCTTTGGAAGCTAATTGGTCTTTATGAGGAAACAGAACGCGAGAATATCGAGCCGGGATACACGCACGGTCCGGTTGGATTTATGCTACTCTAACACGATGACCGCGAGCCCGACTATTCGGAGTACCGTCGCTCCTTTTTCGATTTAAATCTTTTACCGATAAGTTTTTAATTAAATTAAGCGATGACACGCGAACAACTTTCGGCTACCAACTCTACTCTTCGCTTCATCGAGTTAAACAACCCCATCGTATTTTTCGAGTTCTCGAATTCCCAAGATTCTGGATCCCCGAATCGGCGCAGCAGACGTATTAATACTAATTAAAGACGACCTCCGCGACAGTGAACTCGTTAAAAGTAAAAGTTCGCCAATGATAAATCGGTCGAATCTCTTTATCGTGGGCACACGACACGGTCACCGTCACCGGATGCTCCATCCTCTCGATCGGCGTCAATTGATTGAACACCCGATATTAATTTGCCGGATCAGATCTAGGCGACAAGGCCGCCGCGCCGGCGTTTTACCACTCGTGAATATGGGGCGGTAAAAACGAAACGAGGGAACGTGATTTACGTTTAGCGGGTGTTAAAATTACGCAATTCGTGAGTTGAATCTTCCTTTTCTTCTTCTTCCAAGAATCGTACCACGAAATGGTTCATTCATCCTTGTTCACGCATACTCCCATGGTTCGGCCGGATTTTTTTTCTTAATATGTATTAAGTCGCTTACCATATCCAACGTCGATCATCTTCTCGTGTCTAGCACAGCACACATGTTGCCGGACTTCTTCGCCATGTACCCTGTCCTCGTCGTCTGAATTTTTGTCACCGATCGCTGAAACAGAAACATGGACCAATACTGATGTATCGTTCTTCTCTCAACTAATATTAACTTCGTCTAATGCTAATTTTATTCTTCGGTGGCGAACAGTGAGAAATTGAAACTATTATATCCTTGACACGTTGATCGGTACGATAAATTTAATTAGGTGAAATAACGAAGTGTACCATATTGTAGGCATGGATATAACTACTAATGAATTTTCGATTCGATGTACTTGTATGAAATATGGTAAGACAGAGATGGGGAAAAGAAGAAAAGAACGGCGTTACCTACCTAATCGCAAATTGGCGAGGCAAACTAAGGTGAAGCCACCGAATACGGCCCACCGACCCCTCGTGATTTGTATTCGCATCAGTACGAATAGCTGTGTACTGTATACGCGAGTCGATCGAACCGCGATTTACCGTGATTGGCTGACAATTTGAAAAACTAGTCTTGCGGCGGAATCTCTTTACGTTCCCGATATCTATTGTTCGCGTAGAAAATGTGTCGATAATCGTGCCTGACTGGCCACAGCAGTTAGTATCTCATTACTCTGTGTAATGCCCGGATGACTAGAAGATACGTGGTACACGCAATACTCTTGGACTGGCACGTACTCGACATGCAAAGCGGTAGTCCAGAGAGAGAGACGCACCCGTGCGATCGATCACGATCGGTTGTTGCCCACGCAGGTTGCGATCTGCGAGAAGACTGGCCGTCTGGATGCCGCTGAATCTCGCTCAGACGGAGAGGCGTCCGGCTGACAGGCGGATCTCTATTAATCTCGTTTGGTACGGGAACGTCGGACCGCTTCGTGACGGCTGGCCCGTCCATCCATCGAGCATTTTGCCTCTTGCCTGCCGCGATCGCCGATGCGTACCGATGGATAACTCCCTCTTGCAACAAACCAACCGATTCAAACATTCCTGCAACTTTCAATTACGTTGCATTTTATATGAACTCTACATGTCCTAAAAAGCTCGAAGCTCTTAAACATTTTGAAAATCTTAAAAAGTTTCAAGTGTTTAAAAGTCTTGGAATATCTTGATTCAGGTTCGATAACTTTCAAGTTTCAAAATAAATGTTGCGTCATGACTTTCAAAACTTATATGGCTCAAATAAAATTCGTAGCGATCGAAACGACTTTATAACCAGTCGCTACCGATACGGCTAATTTTGTGTTCCGCCGAACCTGCTTTATTTCGGCGCTTCACGAATATGAACGATCCATGCGACCGATTCTACATTCTTTAATTATTTACGTCCTGAATTTGATTCTCATCTAATGATTTATTACCATCAAGTTTTGACTCAACTAGCTACCTGTTCATAATTTCATTGAATACGACATTCTTATTCCTCTATCCCACGCGATAGATACATCCTAATTCCGTATTTGTAGTCCGAAAAAAAAGCACCGAGCTATGAATTCTTCGCTATCTTATATATCTTTTTTTATCGTAACATCGTGTATCTTTTTGGCAAATAATTCTCTCGAATCGCATCATCATTTTTTATTGCATCTGAAGATTACATGAACACCTCGCGTTTATCATCACGCCGATAGTACCGTGTAAATTATCTTGAACCAATTTTAATTACTTAAAAATCACCTCGTAGTTTCAAACCTTTTATCATTGTATTGCTCCTTATGCTCGCATTTTCTATATTGAGATGTAATGCTACTCTTTCGTTGGAAAATTGATTCGTAATTTAAAACTCCATCTAACGTTGTTTAATACTTTTTAACGCGTTATTTGATTACTGCAGAGCCAAATGTTGTATCATGATCTCCTTTTTGTATCGATCTATAAAATAACTGTTTAATTTTTTATTATCAAAATTTCGTTTCATTATTTTTTTTATTGATAATATATTTCTTCTCTTCGCTATCACTTATTTATTAAATGTTATCATCATTCTATATTATTTAAATTCTGACCCCATATGCTGTATACCATATGAGCACGCGTACGTCGCACACACAGTGCAATGGTAAATACATCTATGACATTAAATATATTATATAGACTTTGATGATAAAGTTGTAACTTCAAAGTATTTGTGTATGAACAGTATACATATTATCACGGAATGTAAGTATCTACCTTTCTTTATTATATTTAATATAAATCAATTATAAACAATTTATAGGTTATGTTTCCCTAACTCGTTTTAAAAACTTACATTAAAAGACTACACGCTATTTTAGAATGACGTCGAAAGCAAAAGAAGGTGGAAGGAAAAGCCTTTCATCTTGGGTGAAATGCGAAAAATGTCCAAGTATTTTGATGCAAAAAGATATAGAGGTACATGCTGCTAATTGTCCACCTAATTTTGAAACCCAGAATCCTAGCGTTGAAACTTGTCAGCCTAATTTCATTGCTAATGGTATATTATATAGCAATATAGAACTTCATAAGCCATCAGGTATGTTACTATAGTTTTATTGTTGATTATATATTTTTTAACATAGATGTTTTTTGCATAGAACAGCCAAAAAATATTTCTGAAAGAGTATGCGACGACTTGATATTTATATCGGAAATTGCTTTACAAATATGTGAAATTGCAATAGGAGATTGTGTTCTGGTTACTAGTGGAGACAATACTGTCGTTAAGACTGCATGGCCATGTAAAAACAAAACTTTAGGTGTTTCATTAACAAAACATGGTAAATAGTATAACAAATTCTTTCAAATAATGTTCCTATGAGTTTTCTTATCACTATATTTGTTACAGCGATAGAATTAAATAATCTCAAAGGTCAAGTAACGGTTCAAAAATTAAAATGTTTGGTTAATATCGCTAAAGAATTTATAATCAGTAAGATTGGAAAACATACGTTACCAGAAATAACTACGGAATTAAACATAATATTAAAAAATCATAATGAACAAAAAATATTTTCTGTAGGAAACAAATTAAGTATTCCCTTTTATGGAAAAAAATTAGTATATAAAATAGTAAAAGTGATATCGGATGAATGTACAAACAGTGATTTGTCTGAATATTTTGAACAACTAAATGTAACAAATCAAATACACGACTTCAAATTTTACAAAGCACTTTACAATACAAAATGGACAATCTTAAATGAAGAGCAAGAAAGTAAACAAAACGACACTAAACAAATTAAATATAAAATACAAGATGTTGGGGGATACAATAAAATAATACAGGAGATAAAAGATGTTTTGGACTTTGGACTTGGTAGATGTAACAATATTATTAACTTTTACATTAGTAAAGGAATATTGTTGTATGGTCCGGCTGGTGTCGGCAAATCTTTGATTGCTAATGCCTTGTTATCAGAATATAATGTTAATTCTTTTACTATATACAGTTCGGATATTTACAGTAAATCACTAGGAGAAACGGAGCAAAAATTGAAAGATATTTTCATAGAGGCTAAAGCCAAAGCTCCAAGTATTATTTTGATAGAAGAACTCGATAATTTATGTCCTAAAAGAAGTACTTCGAGTTCAGATCATGAAAGACGAGTTCTTGCGCAACTAACAGCGCTTTTTGACGATATACAAAATGCTAATGATAACATCGTCATATTAGCTACAACTTCCAAGCTAGATTTGGTAGATAGTTCCCTTAGAAGACCTGGTAGAATAGATAGGGAATTTGAAATTTATGTGCCTACTCCCCTTATGCGTGTAGAAATACTTAAAAAAATGCTGTTAAACATCCCAAATACATTGTCTACGGACGATGTATTAAATATTGCGTTTGTAACTCATGGATTTGTTGGTGCCGACCTGTATGGCCTATGCTCGCAAGCTATTCTGAACGCTGTAAAAAAACAACAAAAGGCTGCAACAGTACCGTGTTTAAAAGTAACATCATCTGATTTCAACTGTGCTTTGATCGTAACAAAGCCATCAGCTATGAAGGAAGTTCTAATAGAAGTGCCAAACGTTCGATGGTCCGACATTGGAGGGCAAAAAGATTTGAAATTGAAATTGATACAAGCGGTTGAATGGCCGTTACGCCATCCGGAAGCATTTATAAGAATGGGTATTACTCCTCCCAAAGGTGTTCTGATGTTTGGGCCACCAGGTTGCTCTAAAACAATGATCGCTAAAGCTCTGGCAACAGAGAGCAAAGTGAACTTTTTGAATATAAAGGTGTGACTCGTTACTATTTACTTTTATTTTTTTTGTATGAATCTGCAAAGTTATGTTTTATACAGGGTCCAGAATTGTTCTCAAAATGGGTTGGTGAATCTGAAAAAGCAGTCAGAGAAGTATTTCGAAAAGCAAGACAAGTTTCACCTTCCATAGTGTTTATTGATGAAATAGACGCTTTGGGAGGTGAAAGATCTTCTTCGTCCAACACCGGAAGTAACGTACAAGAACGAGTTTTAGCACAGTTATTAACAGAGCTTGATGGAGTTAGTGCATTAGGGAGTGTTACTCTTGTCGCGGCGACTAATCGCCCGGATAAAATTGATAAGGTTAATTGGATATATAAATTATTATATATTTAGTAAACATATCTTGTATTAATTTCGGTATTATTATTCTTTATAGGCGCTACTTCGACCAGGTCGTTTAGATCGAATAATATATGTACCATTACCCGATTATGACACCAGACAAGAAATTTTCGATATAAAATTAAGAAATATGCCAATTAACGAGGATGTACGAATTCAAGATTTAGTTGAACTTACAGAAGGTTATTCAGGAGCAGAAATTCAAGCGATATGTCACGAAGCTGCCATGAAAGCTCTTGAAGAAGATTTAAATGCTTCCATAATCACTAAAGAACATTTTAAAGCGGCGTTGGCTCTAATTATTCCTCGAACTCCTCCGTCCTTGATAAATATATACAATGACTACCTAAATAAAATATATTAACCATGAAACATTTGCTCGTGCATAGCAATCGAATTTGTTTATTCTCGGTGACATAATCATTCATTTATCGAAATATTCTTTCATTATTGTATAATCATATTTTTGTCCAATTACATTTTCGGTGATATTTAACAAAATTTGCAATTGTACAATTACAAAAATATAACGCTGAAAGATGTCAGTGTTCGTAAAATGTGATGAACCCTCTAATAAACCCAGATCAAAAAGAATGATTGAATGGTTTGATAATTTTATTATTTAACATATTTGGTTAATTTTTAATCAACATTTATTTCAGCTGTGGTGGTTGTCTTCCAGCGGAACCACAATGTCCACAAATTTGTACCATGCCATGTATGCAGGAAATTGTATGTTATCCATGTGAATATCAAGAACAACCTGAATGTCCCCCACCTATGCCAGTTACTTGCATGCCGCGTCCACCTCGAGCACCATGTGTACCATGCGCCCCACGACCTTTCGTTTGTCCTCCCTGCACGGGTCATCCATGCATCACTTGTGCACCCTTACCAAAGCCAGTCCCTGCTCCTGTCGAATATGGACCTGTCTTACGAACGCCTCTTACTACTGGTGGATTGTTTTACATTGGAAGTACAAGATGTTACACTTGCACACCATCCGCGTGTTGCTAAATTGCTAAATGTTTTGTGTACTACATCCATCCTTCTCACATAATAGTGTCAACATAAAATGTAAAATTAAAGTAAATTAAATAAATCTTACACATGATGCACTTATATCTATGTGTACTATACAATGAAATCATATGCGAATTATCTCGATATTTTTATATCTAAATTTCTGTATCTCAACTTTTTTATTTCCGATGATTTGGTAACAACAGACATTGATATTATTGTACAATTTTAAATAATTGCAAAATTTGTAAGTAAAATTATACTAATGGATAGAAGGAGGTGTGAGCTCTGTCCATTATCACATTTTGATAGATGTAATTATACAGTAACAACTTCTATGCAACCTTTGTTAAATGTAGAACATCGCAAATCCTGTCAACAATATTCCCCTAAGATTGAACCGATAAAAGCTGTGAGGTAGAGATTTAATGTCAAGTTATTGTGTACAAGATTTTCATTATTTACTCATTGTAAATTATACATTGAAGATTTAAACCACCTGTAAATATACCGCAATGTTACGGACCATGGACAAATTTAATGTATCGTCCTATCATACAAGGAGCATTAAAATATCGAGGAGTATATAAATTAGTTCCTGTTGATCCTCCGCCAAGCAGTCCTGTACTGTGTAGACCTGCGCCTGATAAACCTACTGATTCCACTGGAATGGTAGTATATCGTCGCTGGCCCACGTTTCTGCATCCCTATATGTAAACAAACACACGTGGACCCTAATTTTATGTATTATATATGTACACTGTGATTGAATGTACTGTATGAGTACTAAATTATTAGTAATTACTAGAAATGTATAAAAAAACTATGTTTGCGTAAAAATGTGTACAAAAAGTAAGGTTATGTTTTGAATGTATAAATAATATAATATTGAAAGTACATCACAAATAAATAATTAATATGGAAGCTATATGGAATAATATTCAATTAGAGCGTCCACCAAATATTACTTGTTACGTTAAGCGTGAAAAGTTTGGTAAGTCAAATATCTGAAAAAATCATATACATTTTCAGCATATAAATCAAAGCATATTATAAGTTCTTTTTACTTTATTAGATACAACAGCATTTTTAAAAACATTAGAAAAAATTATAAAGGATTTAACTTCTCAAAAATTGTTACACAAGGAAGCAGCAATTTTAAGCAGAATAATTTATCGTATGAAAACTAAATTTCGAAATGACAAAGGTGTTAAATTTATGCTGAAAGTAAATAAAACCCTCCTCAATTATCTTCATTTACAACTCAAGAAAGAATATGAAAATTTAAAGGACTTTGTTGAAATAAACAATGATTATGTTACATTACCTAGTAAACAAATGATAGAATATGTCTTAGTTAGAACACAGGGATTTGCCAAACTTGTGTTACGTATGGAAGAAGTTTCAAAACTGACTGCACATTTTCTCAGAAGTAGAATTGGTATAGGTCATGCTTGGACTGTTGCTACTATTGCATATGCTATTATTAGTAGAATATGGTTAGTTTTTTCATTATTTGGTATTAATTTATGAATTGTGAATAAATTTTTATATTTTTAAATATTTGGTTGTAGGGTTTTATCAAGGTATTTAGTTAAACAATCCTGTATATGGTATAATGATTTATATCAATATTTAAAATCATTCAAAGTTTCTGGAATACAATGGCTTCCTGATAACTATGAATTCCCAAATGATTTAAAATTATGGTTATCGGTACCATGGATAGAAGAACCTATTCCAAGGCATGTAGAAACCATTAAAAATAATAAAATACTATGTAACATCATCATAATTAATCTATATTGTTACAGTGTTCCCAGTAGTTATGGATTACAAAGTTCAATATTTAAGCTGATTATACCAGGTGATTATGAGTCAGATGAAGATTTAATCTTTGACACAGAAGACAATAGTAAACCAACAAATGCTGACAATGCATTATTATCTCAAAAAAAAGAAAATATTACATCCAGTATAACACCAACAAATGAAAAGAAAAGTATTGTGTCTGATAATGATACAGGAGGTATTCAAATTAGATAAATTATTATTTTCTAATAAACAATCATGAAAATAGCTAACTATTATTTTTGATTTGCAGAAGTTATTGACCGCCGCACTTTTTATCTCGAACGTGTTAAAAATGTGGCAATAGTTCCCAAAGAAAAGAAGCACAAAGGAACGACAAAGATAAAAGATACAGAAGAAAAAATTCATCATGAAGTAATAAATACTCAAAAAAGTGATTTTAAAGTTGTAAATGATAGAAACGAAAATGTGAAACAATACAAGAATCCTATCATAAAACAGGATGTAACTAAAAAAGAAGTTCAAAAAAAAGTATCAACATTTAATAAGGTTAAAAATAAATCAGACTTAGAAATGTTATTGAATAAAGATTCATATCCAGGTTTAGATAAATTACAATGGAATATTATTAGAAACAAAAGTAAAAAGTTATTAAATGAATTAAATGCTTGTTCTTCCGAATCAAAGCAAGGAATTTTATTAAAAAAAATAAAAAAGCGAATACAGTTGTGGATTGCATAAATACTGCATGTAACAATCAACCAAAAAATTATAATAAAATAAATAAATTTGACACTTGTTATAAATTCATTACTAGTAACTTTAATTATCATAATATTCTTTTGATTGTTGAAAACAATTGACTAGCACGTAAACTATTTGAAGTATATTAATTAGCTTTAAGTTAACGCAAGATGCTAAAATTAATAATACTGTGCAATTAGAATGATATAAATCATAAACAGTACTATCCCTGAGTACATATGTATCGACAAAGCGGACTAGTAGCGCAATGAAATACTGTAAATTCGATGTTCCACGTTATGTCATTTTTGTCTAGCAACTAATGCATGTCATGATTCGAGGTTGAATGCAATCGGACTATGTACCGGTGCGATCTTATCCATGACTGCAATCCAGAATTAAATTGCCTCTTCTTCATGTTGTTGAAGCAACAAGCGCGAAACTGTCGAGTCCCGCATATATCGGCACATTCTCTGCCACATTGGTCGCAGGATAAAGTTTCTCCAAAAATCCACAAAGCGTATACTATAAAACAGAAATACATTCAAATTGTAAAAATTAGCAGACTTCAGTAGATTCCTTTAAGCGATATAATACGTGGCGATAACGATATTACGCTTGATAATTCACGACGAATTTAATACTTGGTAATACAGCTTATAGAAAACAACATAACGATATAAAACATAGCGTTATATTTACTTTTTTATATAAAAGGTCGATCTAAGTAAAAAAGAAATACGAAGAAATGAATTTATGGATGCTGCAACAGAACTGGAAGTTCAGCGATGAATGTTAAGTAGGTAATTACAAGTTATTTCTTGTACAAGATGCGCGAAGTAATATATAACTTCATTAGACTTTCTTAAAGTGCCAGAATTTGCATGTAAGTAGATACTGCACGGGTGACGATTAAGATAGCGTTAATGGTGAAATCAATTAGTGAAACAGGTAAATAGGGAGTATACCGTTTGATGACATTATCCTCTGAAAGTAGAGATTATACCGTGGTCAACATAAGTCCTTTAACGGTTTCAATATTCCTGGAATATCACTGTTCCCACGAATATTGTGAAATCCGTCTTAAGAATATACCATAATGAAATTAGGAAATAAACGCTAAGACCTACATAATTTATCGAAGCTGATACAAACTATTAAAAATAGTAAAGATTAACTTTTTTATTTCAATCTTTCGGTTTGTTATTTCAATTCGTTAGCATTATTTTAAATAATATTCAACATTCTCTTTCATTTGTTTTGTAAATATTTGATTAAATGCGAATTAAAATCATACTGTGAGCATATTAAAAATTAGCAAAATGTTTGCAATAATATTTACAATTGTGAATAATAAAAATGATCGCTTACCTGCAAGTAACAGTATCACGTAAGTATAGTTGATCTTCATGTTTGATGAACCAATTATTATTTAGTTTAGCTAGCAATTACGCACAATGAATAAACGCTATAAATAAGAAGAAACATAATTATTTGCAATGTTCACAAGTTTAATAGAATGAAAAAATATGCATTTTAAAATAGCACGGGAAAACAAGAAAGTGTAATAAATAAAGTACAATCACAATTTTTAATACCCGAGTATTGGAACTTTATTGTTGAACAGAAGGTTTTTAAATAAATAAAATATTTGAAATATTAATGGTAAAGATGTTAACTTGCAGATCGTTTGCGGATGAACGCTGAGGATCAAATGATAAAGCTATCGAGGATCGCCCCGTAAAGATATATGTATATCCCCTCCAAGTCATATCGCCCCCTTCATCCTTAATACACACGCAATCGCATTTTCGTTCTCAATAATATATTCAACATTTCTAATTATTCTAGTGCAGTTTACCAATTCCAATTCGGATTTAGTAACACTGTTACAGGAAGACAAAGAATAGAAATAGTTACATCCATTACGATACAGTATGGATAATAATTATTAAGGGTATGAAGCTTTAATTTTAAAATATAATTTAAAAAATTAAACTTTCATCTGTAACTTCAACGATATTAAAACATATAAAACAATGATGACGATGTTAAAACGTCTAATTCCATCTCCTGATCCACTGCTAGTTTGGGCTAATGATTGAACTGAAACATTCCGAAAAGAATAATTATTAAACAAGTTTGTAAAAATTTTATCATATATCCATTGGAACAATTCGAACCAGGATAGTAAACGATCCTCTTCCTGCGTTTGTAGTCCGTGCGAGGAATAGAAATCTCGCAATCGATTAATATAGGTTCGAGAATGTTACTCAAAATTGTACTGCGACTCACGGACAGTCTACCTTCTTCCATTTGTACAATTTCATCGTAATAGTTCTCAACTTCGATTCCCTCTATGTAAAATTTTAAGATTGGCCGTGGTTGCGCTTCATATTCCACACATGTTAGATACAAGTGACTTTCATTGAAGAAAGAAACATGTATCCTCGCATCAGTTTCCGGCGCTGTAAATGAACATTTCATTGTAACACACATGATGAAGATCATGATTGCAAAACTATAAATCTACCATAAACAATCATATTAGTGGTTGCCGAGTCCTCTTCTTGAAACGTGCTGATAGAGCACGTATACTCTCCACCCATTTCAACGGTAGCCATCTTTAATTGTATGATAGATTTCGAATTAGGGTACCGTAAATTTGACTGAGGATATTCGGTAAATCCGTATAGAACTCCCACGTCCTGAGGCGGCACTGTATACATAATTATAGTAATAGCAATAATAATGGTAACAATAATGTGTAAATTATTAGGAAGTAATATTACTTGGTGGTATCCATTGATAGATTTGATTCATGTTATGAAACCATTTTATTACGAGACCATTTTCTTCCTCTCTGACGTTGTAAATGCATGATAAATTGATCGGTCCAGTACCATTTCGTACGACTAATGGCACTTCCAAAGAATGAATCGTTGAAGCGTGTATGTCTACGAAATAAGTAAATATGGACTTCAACTAAAATTAAGCATTCGAATTTTAAAGAGAAAGACTTTCACATATTTAAATTACGATATAGAAAAGAATAGTACTGAAAAATCAATATAAAGTTAATATAATATTACTGTTTTCGCGCTCCGTCTTCCAATAGTTCATATATTGTCTCATTCGCGCTATACCATTATAACGTCGTATCCTATTATAGTTTTAGGTATGGTTATAGTGTATACTATGCAAATATGTATGTTCTCGTTTATTAATTTATATGTTCTAAACTCTAATGGAATTTCTCGCAAACGATAGACGAATAAGCAAAATAAATTTTGAGAAATGGGCTTGGAAAATGTTACCTGGGAGAAGGTTCAATATTGTTGCAACGTGGAGCAGAAAAACTGCATGTGTGATTGACGGCATTTTCTACGAAGATCAGTTTTCAGACTAATGCACAATTAAACCATGCTTCGTTAAACTTAAATCAAGCGCAGGTGAAAGGTTCTGCGCAGTTACCGATTATATTGGTGATTGTACAATATTTTTATATTATTCGATGACGAACAAATAACATACATTCTGACTTACAATCATGATACTTAATTATGCAAAATGTCTTGAATTATTTAATGTTTGTGTAAGATTTCATTTTATATAAATATTTATATGTTTATAATATAATTGATTGCCGCACTTTTTGCTCTTCGAATTTCTACAGACGGTCTTTTTAATTCATACTTTCTCTAAAAGATGGCAACCGTATACGTTTCAGTGTGAAATTCTTAATATAGAGCGATAACTTGGTTATAGTTTATATATCGAAAAATATTACGAAATAAATAACAGATCTTTACAATATAAAATTTATTTCTGCAAATTTTCATTTAACGATGTCATTGCTAAAGTATTAAAATGAAAGAAAAATTGTTGGTGTCTCGTATCAGTATTTTTTAAATACAGAAATAAGAGCTCTTATACCTCTCTAGTGATTATAGATATTTATGACTAAGGGAATGTAACTGACTTCAACGTTTTTGTCATTTGAATAGTGAATACGAAAACAAAATTGTATCAATTCTTATTGTTGCTATTTACTGTTATTAGATAGTGTTACTTTTAAAATAATGAATGACGATCCAAGAGAAGTACTTGCTATTTTAAATTCATTAGGATTTATTGGAATTACTGCTCAACAACTTAAAGCGTTTATGAAAGGTATGTAGTATTATCAATATTTTATTTATATCCTATAATAGTACCGTGCATTACTATGTATCATTTTTGTTACAAGATTTGAAGCTGTACAGGAAAATAAAAGAACATGAAAGGCAGCAGAGGAAAGAAGAAATTAAAAAGAAAATAATGGACAAACAGCAAAGTATGATTAAAGAAATTCTTAGAGAACACAAAACACACAATTATTCAATTGAAAATACAATATCTACTAATTCTTCTAGTTCTTATGTTGACAATTCTCTTGTAAAGATAAATATAAAATGTTCATCTAATGATAAAGAAAATGAAAAATCTAATTCTGAAGAAAATTTTGCAGTAACTAAACAAAAATTAAATATAATGAAATCAAAACCTGAATTTAAAGAGGTATTTGATCATTATAACATTAAATCTAACAGCGTATCTTCTCATAAGAATGATGTACCTCGATTACAAAGTAAAACTACGTATCTTAAAGGTTTGGAAAAAGATGTTTGTACGAAGAAGCAGCATCAAACAAAAGCAGAATCTGATAAAATAACACGTCATGAAAAATCTGTACCTTTACAGTCTATTCGTCCTATGAGTGCTCCAAATATTTTAGAACATGAACAAGAGCACTTTGGAAGTAGTCGAACAAAAAGTACAATGTCTACAAAATATTCTCAATCTGGTTCAAAGTCCTGTAAGGTTTTAATATATATTGTATTGTATGTTATGAATGTAATAATTCAACTTTGTATATTATGTAGTTATTAGGCCATGGAGACTACAACCAGAAGTTCGAAAAGCTTTAAGTATAAAAAAATCTGATCCTGTTACAATGTATCAAAAATATCAGCAAGAATGGAAACAGATGTCTTTTCCTGGTGAAGCTAAACATTCAAGCGTAAGATGGGCAATTCGTGAAAAAATGTTAGGAGGAGATCCTCATCCCATGGTACAAACTTTGTTCAAATGCAATTTATTTATTCTTTGCTTATTACTAATGCTTTTTCAATTTTTTATAGCCTGTTCCCAAAAAATCTACGAGTATGCCGATGCTAAAAAGGAAATGACCTCTCTTCAATTAGGGACTAAAATTTTTGTTAAGAGTAAATAATTATAAAGAAAATTACATTAATAACCATGTTAGATTAAGTAATTATAAGAAAAGGTTGTCTGCTGTTATTAAAAATAAATACAAATTAATATATGTTAAACAAACATTTGGTTTTTGCCTTCTTTAATTTCTAATTCTGATTCAATTTAAACTTTTGCATTAATTTCCGATTATCAGGTCTATGTAAATTATACAATATTTTATCTTCGATTAAGCGTGCAGCTCTTTCGGTGAGAACTAAAGTATCATGTTTTAACATACTGTAAACATTTAGTCCTGCAAAATAAATGGTAAATAAATATAAGTTATATAGTAATAGTATTAATAATAATATTTGATGTACTCAATATCTACTTTACCATATGCAGGCATTAAATTCACATGCTTTATTTCATCTGTAGCTTCTGTTATATTTGGAGCCATGATATCTTCAGAATCAACAAAAAGTACAGAAGGACCCCAGTGTCTTGCTTCTATTAATTCTTTAATGTATGCAGAATCATTTGTTGGAATTTCTAATTCATTAATAATGTACAAATCATCTTGAGCAAGTTTAACAGATAATGTACATGTAAGTCCAGCTACACGAGTGAAAAAGGGGAGCATGTAGAAATGAGGTGTTGGTGACCGAGGCCCATGTGCAACACCACCTCCTCTCCATAGTGGTGAACGTATACTTCCATGGCGTGCACGTCCTGTTCCTTTTTGTCTCCATGGCTTGCGACCACCACCTCTTACTTCTGCACGAGTTTTTGTATTTGCATAACACTAAAATAAAAAACTAATTTTAATGTTTTCCATTTATTTTATTAATACTGATATTTCCTAGAAAATAATTTAATTTAACAATTACCACCCAGCGATACATTCTTTGCCATTGAACATTTTGATGAATGATATCTATTCGCGGAGCTGCTCCAAAAACATCCGGATGTAAAGTTACGAGACCCAATTTCTTCCTTTCAACAGTGTCTAAATTTTCTATCCATACTTCTCGAGGTTTTTGATACAAAAACTTTTCATCCGGGTAATCGCGTTTAGAAATAATTGGACTGTTTTGTTCTGCAATGACTCTCGTACAAAATGTTGCCGCTTGATACAAACATGTTTGTCCTTTTGTAATGACATTTCTAAATAACATTAACATTTTTATAAAACTTTTTTCTGCTATTACATTCGCATAGTATATATTTAATCAAACATAAACGAGATGGAGAATTGTATATTTCTATCTCACGGTTTAAAGGTTGTGTAGCCACATTAGCAAGTCGCACCTAACCTGAATATTTTTAAATAACATCTTTTCTAGATGTCGCTACAAAATTTTATAGATGACACTACCAGTAAACATAAACAGTTTTATACATCTATGTTGTGCATGAATAAATCTTTTGAAATCGTTGTTATATTTATTGTTATATTCATTATTTTGTAAAATTATTCTTATGGAATTTTATCGTTACAACAATATTTTGTTGCATTTTGTATTATATACACAAAAAAAAATATTTTTTAAGAAAATACAGAGTTGTGATACCGCATTCTATCTTCTGTAGCATTACATTATTTTAAAAAATGTTTGGAAGAAAAGCATGTAAACTCATAACAGAACTAGATTTATCCGCTGATATTCTACCATTTAATGTAGGTTGTATAACATTCAATATATTTAAAAATAATTTAGTGATTAAAAATAATTATTTTTATTCATAGGAAATAGTAGTTAAAGAAGTTATTGACGAAATGCATTTTCTCTATAAAGCAAATATGTCTGATAGGTTTGTATTAATTATTATATCTGCTAGAGTTGTTCAGATATTTTGAAAGATTTGTTATTATGCAAGTAAAAAAAAATTTCTTTTAGTAATGCTATTCGGAACGATGACAATATGGCATTATTACCTTCTGTACAACTTCGACATATAGCATTGACCAGAAATAAAAGATGTCTGTTGACATATGTATATAATAGGATGAGAAGAATAAGAGACCTACGTTGGGAATTAGGAAGCATTTTGCCACCAGAAATAAATTCAAATCTATTAAACGCTGAAGCCCAATGGTTTCAGACGTACAACAAATCATTAGCTACATATATGAGATCATTAGGAGAAGATTATGGATTTAATATCACAGCAAATATGTTACCTCCAAAGACTCCTTATGTAGAGGTAAATAAATTGTTTATACTTGTGTTAACATTTAAACATGCAAATATGGAATAATTCCAGGTAAAATGCGTGACAGACTTTGGAAGATTGGAACTCGAGGATGGTCAAGTAATTTTATTAAAGAAAAATACATATCATTTATTACCCAGAGCTGTATGTGAACCACTTATACGGCAAGGTATTCTTGAACATAACAGCACATAATTTGTTACTTTTATAATTTGTTATAATAAAAATAAAATTTATTTTTATTCTTTTTATCCTGTCAACATTTTTTCAAACAAATTATATTCACGAACGCTAACAAAATCCCCGTAATGATATTACACTAGATAATCGTTGTTTTCCTTGTACCAAACTGATATACCATATTTACCCGAAATTGTACTTAAAACTTCACGGGCCCGCATATTTCTTATTTCATTAGGGTTTTCCCATATAAACTGAAATCCCACGTAACGCATACTTGGTGATCAAACAGTTTGAGACTCGCCCTCACACGATGCGGTACGTGTTCTTCATAGTTATTCAATCGTAATCAGCGTTCACCTCTTTCACATATTATTTCGTTACAGAATAGTATTGCTTTTTCCTTCTATCCCGAGACGACACAACTATTCGCCGATTTTGACATGGTTTTCGAGCGTTGCATTTGTAAAGATATCACCAATTAAAGGTAAGCATTAGTTTAAAAATAAAATAACTAGATTTTACATTCGATGCCGTATCAATCGTTATTTGAATCTATAAAATTATTCGAATGGTGTTTGAAATGAACCGATTTATGTTATATGTATGAAATAGAATTTTATACAGTAGAAAATAATATTCAAATTTCCCTTGGATTGTAGAAGCTGTAATGGTCCAGTCAAATATTTAAACATGCTTTAATATACATTAATACAACTATTTACACTGAAGTAAATACCGACTGACTTTTCTCATCTAACGTACAAGCGTAGAACATAGCATACCTCACATGTCTCATGTTAGAAATTCCAAAACCGCCAAATTTTTAAATCTTTAAAGATACGTAAGAATAAGAAAGCTGGAGTGTATATAAGGATTACTACGAAAGAGATACAAGTAGAACGAATCCGGTAGTTCAATCCATCTTCCCGGTTCGACTTTGAGTCACCGTACTTTCCCAGCTCTTGTACAGTTAAAGTATTGATATGTTCAATTTTCTTAGAAAAACCGACAATTTAATGATATTATTATTGCTTCGTTAGATTATTATATATATTGTAGAAAACATTCTTTTTAGCGAAGATGGCAATTGCAAAGCGTGCAACGTACTTACTTAGATACGGTTAACTGTTAACTGCATGCTATAACAATGAACTCATTGATAATGTACAAGTATTATCAGTGAACTGGTTTTCGTGGATGTTGAAAAGATAACACATTTTCTGACTTTATCAGAATCAGGTTTTCCCCAGATATCATTTTACCCGTTGTGTTCTGACCGAAAAAAAAGTTTATTCACAATTTTGTAACTAAAAACGTGTACCAAATTTTTTATCAATAATTGAATACTTTTCCTTGTGATAACTTAATGACGAATTTCAGACGGTCGCATTACCGACATTGGCGTAACTAGAATTTTTATCTAAACTAGGACTTCCCCAGACTTAATAATGATATTACACTAAACATGATCATATGGCTTTTGAAAATTTAAAAATAGGAAAATTGGTTTTGGAAGTTAATGAAGTAGGTGTAGGTTCTTTAACTGGTCACAGCAGTGACGATTGATAGAGAAGTTTTACATCATTGTTGAACCATTACGTAAAATTACATAATTCATTTGTCATCAGTCATTAGATAAAAATCGGTTTTTGTATGTTTATCAATGATTTCGTTGAGTAATCATATAATTTATATGACTCATAATTTACATTAATTTTTATTTTCGAATCTAATGGTTACGTTATAAAAAGAATAATTAGTAGAATAAAATAATTAACTAAATCAAAATGGTTGGGTTGTACATATAAACCAAAACAAGATAGGAGATTATCATTGAGAACCACTGATGGCGCTTAACATCTTATGAAACTTTTATACTTTGAATTAGTAGAACTTTCCGTGTATCTTTCTGTAACTGTTTTATAGGACGAGAATGTACTCTGCCTCGTAGTTTCATTTACACTGTTTACAATGAATTATATGGTGTCTAAAAGTGTAGTGTCTGACGCACGATGAATGATTTTTCATTTATAACCATCGTTTATTATTTCTTAATTTTTATATTGTATTTCTTGAAAAGAAACAATAGCGAGGAAAACAAGTTTAGTATTCATGTTTACCGCATGGGAAGCACAAGTGAACCTATTGGTACTATTAAAATTTGTCGTTATCGATATACCGACCGTTTTGTGTAACAAACGATAACAGGTATACGAGTGTCCTTTGTTTTACGATCGAGTGTCAATAATCATTGGGGAAAACCATGTATAAACGACCATGAATAGGGTCGAGATCGTCTGTCGGTTTTGAAAACGTCTGTACATCTTCTCGGAATATTGACATGCGGTAATAACCCTGAAGATTACCCACAAATATTGCTGAACTTTCCAAATAGGAAACTCTGACGGAATTTCCGGTGAGTTAACGCCATGGTGGATTAACGACTCGAAAAGAAAGTAGAACGGTGAAATTCATGCATCTTCATATAGAAACCAATTGTCCGTTACTAATAATTGTTTTCGAAGGAAATTTTTCTCTTCAGATTACGAGCAAAACATAACGGTCGACATAAAATGAAAGAACGATAGGTACAGATATATTGCCAATAGGTAAATAACTGTAAAAAGGATGCTTTCAAATTAATATTTACAAACTTGCAAATTTTGAAAATCACAAAGACGAACTTGTACACTTTTGAACGCTATATGGGAAGCCCTCTTTTACAAGAACTACTATCTACTATAGTTATTTACTATACTTATCGGCGCCTGCGAGTACATATTGCATACGCGATTGTGTACTGTGTCCTCAAAGGCAGACTTGCCCATTAGTAGTAAAGATAGATTATGAAAATATAAACAGTTACAAGAAAGATATATTTTTTTTAAATAAGTATTTTTAGGATTTTCTCGAAACACGATTCTGATATATTGATTCAGGAAAAAGTACGATAAACGTTAGATATTTTCGTAATCGGTATCGATGACAAGAGTTGAAAAATCAGATAGGAAGATAGGGTTTAAAACGTACGTGACGAAAAATTCATGGAATACCTAGGTCTGTAAACATCTTTTACATTTGAATAAATACGATAAACGTTTACGGGGTTTCCGTCCAGCTTTCTTTTCTCTAAACTGGATATCGACAGAATGCCAAGTTAAATCGAGTACGCAACTTATACGTGCAGCTGGCCCTGCCAGAGAACGATGGGTTTTCCCACCCCTACTCTCTTCCCTTTAAACTAACTACCGCCAGAGGCGACACTGTTGCATCGCGGCCATCATCTATGTTACTTGTGGTTTCATCCAAACTCCACAACTTCACGGATCAGTTCGTTCTCAAACAGCGTGGTGGGTGGTGTTTCGACCGTTTCAACAATACACGATCACGAGCTATATCCGTGTTTTCTTCTGTTTTTATCTAGTTAAAACACGAACGCATTATTTCTTTATTAACCTCAACCGTGCTTCCACCTGTATGTGACGGATACGTATCATTATTTGTTCATCAAACGTGAAATTATTATTGTGGAATGTTGTAAACTTGTTCAGATATTTACGAGCGGAGTCAAAACGAGAATGCGACGACAACGAGAAAGCGAATACAATAAAGAAGCCAGCTGTTCAGAATTGACGATCGAACGATCGCTTGAATAAAACAGAGCAGTGGCGTCGCTTGCGAACGAACGACTGAGAAACGAACGCAATTCGTTTTTAGAGTACACCGAACGAAAATTGTTAAAAACCGTTTCGATCGCTTGACGCGACTACGCAGTCGTGTCGAAAATTTTTGTAGAAAAACGTGGTGCACGTACGTACGTACGTACACATAGTGTCGCTGTGTCGCGTGTACGCGAAATCGCGAGTAGTTTTTCTATCGAACAACGGGATAATCGATCTCTGGTGCACGATCGAAAATGTGGCATCCATCGAATCGAACACCGACGGAGAAAAATGTTGCAGAGAACGAAGAAAAGTGCGAGAAGCAACGCGACTCGGGCAACGTTGATTCTGGATTTTTGTCCGGTGGGAACCTTCAAATCAGTTCCGAGATATCCGAAGAGGAATTGATCGCCGCACCCCAGGCTCCAGAACCAATGAAAGTAGACAGCGGTGTAGATCTCGGGCTGAGCGAAAGCTTGAGCCAGCTTACACTGAAGCAAGTTACTTTGAATCCTCTCGCGATCGGCAACGTTCAAGCCGAACCTACCGAGGAGGAGCTGATCCCTGTTAGCTCCGAAAAGCTTCAGCATGCTACGATATTACAACCCGAATCGCTTCGATCTCACGGGAAACCGCCCATTGAGGAACCTTGGCAGCTCTACTACACACAGGATGATGATGGTGACACGTACGTGATCTATGCTCTTCCTCCTTCCGTTGAAAACAAGTCTGACCCATTAACGATACGCAATTAATTAGATTTCTCGCGCCTATCATTCTGTTGTCGTTGTCACTACGTTATACATTCAAAGAGAGTAGTTGTAACGCTTTAGAAATTCTTGATGCGCCGAGGATCGTTTAAAATTAAGCGAATCGGGATATTATTCGATACATATAATTCGTCGTAGTTGACGCATGCTCCGTCACAGGGCAACCTGTAGCACGCGTTGCATTAAAAGTGACGTTAATGTTTTTAAGACGATCGATCGATTCGCGGTAATAATAGCGTGCTGTTGAATGGACATGATTCTTTGTATAATACTATGAAACGATGACTCTTGAAACTACATCTAATCGTTTTCTTAGTATTTTCATTCATCGTATTTCCTTACTTAATTAAATATATTGCGCATTATTCTGATATTTAGAATTTATTAATCAGGGCCGGTGCTAATATTTGCGGGACACGTTCCAATCTGAATTCGAAATTTGAAGCTGTTTTAAACGTTAATACTGGCGGATATTAGAAATTTACAAATTAAAATTATAACACTCCATGTTGCCATTATCTCTGAGAAATTCTATATCCATATACTAAACGACATAAAGTACAATATTTCAAGATAAACAGCACAATCAAGTACAATTACTATTCTTTCGAATCACTCGGAAATATGTTAATCGAGGTAAATATCGTTACGCGTCATCGTGCACGCGTGAATCGATCGATCGTGTCTCGTACGTGTTTCACATCGCTAAAGCTCGTTGACCGATTGAACCGTTGCATCGTAAGATACGCGTTCGCGAGATTCGTTTGACCGTGATACGTCACAAACGTCGCCGTAAAGATATCAAGCAAACCGGTACCTCCTCATTTTCGTACCCCGCACCATGCTAAATTATAGTAACTTTTCTTTCGTTAACTCTGTTTCTTGTTTCGATAGTATCGATCTTGCGTATCGATGCAACGTTTTATTGACAAGTTCATACGTCAATGACGCATGACAAAATGTTGAACTTTGGTCGGGGAGCAAACAAATTCCACGAAATAGGGAAAAAACAATCGCACAGAACCATCGCACGTATTATGTCACAGCCAACCGATCAATATTTGTCTGAGCCCTTTTAAGAGTTAAGATCAAAACGTTTATAAAATATCGCATGTTGGAACTCGGTCCTGGAAATCTTTGTCGAGGTCCTAATTTAGCGTATAAATTCAAATATAAATTCCCGTTAAAGCTTTATTTTCTTTTACAGGCAGCTGCATATAGCCATAGTGCAAGGTTTCGTAGAGGCTGCATTCAGCTTGATAAAAATGGCACCCCATCCGTGTCTATTGAATATTTTGAACGACGATGGTCAGTCTCCTCTGCACCTGGCTGTGTTGACCAGGCAACCAAGGATCGTTAGGCGGCTAATTTTAGCAGGTGCAAATCCAGCATTGAGGAATTTCCGTGGCAATACAGCCCTACACCTGGCTTGCGCGACCGGCGATCTTGCCTCGGCGAAGTCCCTTACCGATCCTTTGACGCCGGTCGAAAGAAATTACCTGCTCTCAGGGAAGAAAATACCTGCATTGCCGCAGAATCTCGAACAACGGAATTATGATGGTAAGCTATAAAAATTTATAACACGTTATTCCTTCTTGGAACGTTAAACTGCTAATTAAGTTAATTGGTTACTGTTACATGGCCGAAGTAGAAAATTTTGAGGAAGGAAAAGTTCTACCTATACTATACGATCAAAGCGTATGTCACGTTGAAACGTATATTCCTGTGTGGCTACAGTACTCTATCCCTATAATCTTAGATACTTGTAGACTCTACTGGTTACGGTGTATGTCATGGATCAAATAATTAATGAGTCATTATGTATAATGGCAGGCCAGATTTTGTTTGCAAATCTAACGATTAATCACTTATTAATCACTTCGTCCATAATGCATACAATTAAAAAATTAATACATAATTCTGCGAGTAAATTCTCAAGGTTTTCAATGTCGAAGCAGATAAAAGACAAAATTAAGCTGGGAATCGTTGATTATGAGAAACATTGTGATTATACAAGGTTCGTCGTGTTCTTTACTCGACTTTCCAGTGATTCGATAGAGTTAAACGAAGTCATTCTTAATCTTTTACTTATTATTTTAAAGCTTCGAGGAGAGCACCATTCTATCCGAGTAAATCGAATAAAAATAAAAGGGATTAAGAGAATCGTACGACTAGTATTACTTTAATAGTAACGTCATGAATAATAAAGCAGAGTCCTTTTAATTTAAATAGTTGAAACAAAACTTGTCCTTGTTAAGTAGATACAATGGATAGAAAACGCGACGCGTTGGGATATTTAACAGAGAAGGAAGGAAGCTCGGGTGACGTACACGTATTTCGTATTACTCGGTGAGAGGACAAACGAAGAGTCGGAAAATCCTAACAACTTTTACCGCATAAAGCAACACAGTCATTGGCATCGCGCGTGCGGTACAAAACAAATCCTGTAGCTACGATTACGCGCGGGTTTCCCATGATTTCATCAAAGGATCGAGAATGATCCATTGTTACCGTTCGTTACGCTGGAATTTCCATTGTTAGTCGAATTGTGGCATCTTTATTGGCAATTCATTATACTCCATCGACGAATTAATGTTTCTTTTACTTTCCTGAATCCAGGCGCTGTCCTTGTAAAGAAAATTATATCGAATTTCAAATAATAAAATTGCAATAAGGTTAGCGCGTGTTACAAAGAGAAGCAGCTGATATAATTATTAAATGCACAAGCGTGGTTCTACTTGTAAAAGATATGGTCTTGTGACTAGCATAGATACATTTTGAATAGTTGTACGAACCAACCTGCATATAATGACAAAAATAGAAAACCTGTGCATAAGTATAAAGCTAACTTCTATAGGAATTTTGTAAATAACCTGATCATTTATTCATAATATTCGCATAACTGGGAAGAGAAACTGCTGTCTCGCAAAAGAAACAGCAAAAAATCATAAACCGTATAGCCGTATTACGTTGCTTCGAGGAAACGTTTAGTCAGAAGACTTTCCTCTTCTGGACCTTCCTATTACAGTTCGTACATTTCTTGAGGGTAAACCGCAGCTCGCTTTGTTACGCTTTTACTTCGTATTTTGAGATTTGGTAGGCTCAGGATTATAAGAACTTGAAACGAGAATATCAGTTCTTCTTTAAAGTTTGGAATTCCCGCATAACGTCATCTTTTACACTCCATTCTGAGCTTACAATAGTCTGGATGCGCACGCGAACTCTGTTATTTGCCGCGTAACCGACTGCTTTTGGCCATGACGATATAATCGGACTACTCTTTTGCATCGAATAACTTTCGCAAGCTCGTGTGCTTGTCGATGTGACGCGATGTACTCTGTGACGTTCATGGTGCAGGCAAATATCGATTGATAGTATAATGTAAACATTTGCATGCAACTGTAACGGACACAATATGTACTCGATTAGAGAGGTGCAATGTTTCGGTCTACTATGCGATCAAACGCCGAAGCACTTTCTTCGGGCAAAAGGATAAATAGGAGCAATGAAAAAGTAGGGTGGGAAGAAAGTAAGGAACAAATAGTGATACGCTCGGAATACACCCGACGGAATTTTGGCGCGTGGTCCTGGCGGGTGCGTGCGTGCACGCACGTTACATCACGCGGCGCGATGAGACACAGAAGCAAAAGCCGAAGGCGGCAGATGTTTTTGATATTTAAAAATACCTGCGCGACTATTTACGTGTTGATATTCTCGCCTCGGTTCGGCTCGATTCGACTTGGGAAACCCCACAATGGCGTAGGAATCGGTGGAACACAGCTTCATTTCATCCCCGACAAATTCTGTGAGAAGTTCGAGACCCTTGGTTTATCCCTTGGAATCGAAAATCCCTTCGAGTGCATAACACGAATTAGTTTGCGTGAATACGTTCCTTCTCGTATCCTTCAATTACGTGAAAGATTCGATGATTAAGATGGTTTTACTAATTTCTAGAGTGGAATTAATGAATTAATACGGTGCGTTACGATACCAGTCGAAAACAGTCATTCAACCTAGTCATTGACTAATCGCGATTACAAAATTATCGATACGATATCGAGAACTCGGGAAATTCCAAGTTGCATAAATCGCTTATTTTTCAGTGTTGGTGTGACGTTATAGTGACTGTTTCGTGCGTAGTAGTTGTGTTGCATGATCGGAAAATATTTTTTTGTGGAATAATCGCGAAGATACGTAATTAAATTCCATCAATGTTAGAGTGGTCGCCGATGGTAACAAGGGGATGGTTAATTTTAGCAGTTACTTTGATCGGTACGAACCTAGTTTGGACCGCGGGACGCCAGCCAAAGCTCCGACGACAATGATTCACCGCGTCTTCCTAGTTCTATCTATATCTTGCAGAAGCATGTGACTCGGTCGCATCGGTTATGAACATCCAGTTCTCATTCTCTCTTTCAGCTTGTCGATTAAGAAATAGACGACGAATCTAAATTTGACCATTCGTTACAATAGCTTGATCATCCTTCTACCTTGTCAGGATCTTCTAATTTTACGGATGAGTAATTAGAGAAACGCTTGAGATATAATTGTAGACGATGCGAAAATAAAACGTCACACAATTTGTCTTTCCTTTCCTACGAGTCACGTATAAAAATCCTCAAAATATAATTTTTTCATGTTGCAGGAGAGATGTGTCTTCATATAGCAGCCTCCTCGGGCCACGTAGAGTTAGTGCGTCTTCTTCTGCGTCTTGGAGCAGATCTCGAAGCTAGAGAAGCTTTGGCAGGAAAAACGGCTCTTCATCTAGCCGTGGAACGCGGTTGTCGATCGGTGGTCGCGTTCCTTCTTCAGGAATGCAGGCCTTGTTTGGACACGCAGACGTATGCTGGAATCACTGCTTATCAAATAGCATTGTGCTTCGACAGTCAGTTAGCAAGAGAGCTAGTCAGGTTAGGAGCAACACCGGAACCGCTACCAGAATCGGATTCCGACAGCAGCGACGAAGACGAGAGCTCAACGATGAACTATTTGCCAGCGATCGCCAGACTCAGACAAAACACGGTCGGCGTTAAAGTATAGAAATTCATCGATTAACACCATGGACTATCGATAACATGAATTGTTAGTCCTTGCGGCTTAATCGATCGATGCGTAGTATTAGTAGAGACATTAACCTTCGGATGGCGGAACGAGAGTTTTGCTGATTCGATACTTTTTAAGAGGCACGTTTTTTATTCAAGTTTTAGTTCTGTAATATAGAGGGTGTCACAAAGTTGAATAATCAAATTTCACTTGTGGACGCCGATGGCTAGTCAGTTTTTCAATTTGAAAATTTCTATATTTGGAAACATCGAAATTTCTAAATTTCAAAATTTTCAAATTGCTAAATTGCCCATAAATGAGACGGACAACTTCCGTGAGTGATAGATCATCTTCCTCTACGCTTTCCCTTATTTAACAATAAGGGAGAAATCTGCGTCGTTATTAATTCGACCACCATCATTCGAGGGTTAACAGTTAATTGACTGTTCGGGACATTGCCGAAAAAACTAGATAATTCTGTGCCGCGGTATGAGTTTCAATAAAGGACGCAAAGTTCTAATTGTATCCACAACAGTACAAGTATTACACACGTGTCGAACATATTATTATTCTTTTGGAGTTGTAACTGGCAATCGATATCGAAGCAACCGACGAAGTGTAAACATGAGAACAAAGAACGAAACTGAAATGATCAGTTAAGTTAGTGCCTCTGTGAGGAGCAGCTACTTACTCGATAATTAGAGAAAAAGAAATGAAGGTAGATACTGTAATTAAATAAGTAGTCGACTGCATGATGACGCTGAATTTACGCTTAGGAGAGACCGAAAGATCTCGTTTATATGTATATAAAAAGCATCGAAATTTTCTTCGATTTGTGTCTTTAAATGTAGTGGTATTGCGACGCGCTTAAATACGTCCTTAACCCTTCTGACCTGATGCTTCGATGGAAACTCGCTTACAATATTTTGTTGTGGTTTTCCTCCTATAATCAGAACAGTCATTTATTGTATCTCGATACTTGAGTTTCGTGTAACAAGCTTAAAATCGTTTTAAAAACTTGAATGATGGTACAAAGTGCCGACGTCAGGTCCGAAGGGTTAATACGAAAGGGTGCATTAAAATGAACAGAAAAAGGAGTGAAAAAGAATAGTACGCGATAAAATGTAATTTCATTGTTCGTTTTAAGATGTATATACATATAAATATATATATATTTATATATATATATATTAGATGAATTAAGAGACCAAGATAACACTTAATAGAATATTTATGTAGAAATAGTTTACTCGAATACTACTCACAGAGTACTTCGATGTTATGTCTGTCGCGAACGTTTACATATAAAATTCCTTCTTCGCCCCTCGAACGCCCTTCTACACTTCTCCTTTTCGCCGTGTTGTACATAGTCATATTTTATTAGTATCGCGAAAATGTTGTTTTGTACGGCATCAGTTATAATAGAAAATGATATCATTAACACGTTGTTACATAACGTCTATAATTATTTTTTTAGCAATAAAAGGCTATGGAGAAATTGATAATGATATCGTACAGGTTTTTCTTGATCCGTTGAATCATTGATCCTTGGGCGTAGATTATAAGTCGGGTGAAAAGTTAAGGTATATTTTATTGTGTTACGTTATACAGATTAATTTGTGAAACTTCTGGAAAAAAGAACAAAATCCGGTATGTTTTCCTCTAAGGCAGGTATAGGCACGCAAACCACAAAGGAGTTACTCGCGAATCGCGTTATACTATTTTTATGTAGAACTTTCTCTCGTGGCGGGAAAGCATTGTAGCAACTATTCACTTATATTGTATGTTTCGATATTCAACGAAGATTAATTTATAGTTCGTCAGTCGAACATAGTTCAGTGTGACCTCAAGATCCGAAGAGTGGGGTACCTTTCTCCGCTACACTGGGATCGTCAGCATCCGCATTTGAGTTCATTGCTAAGCTTACTGCTGTCTATGCCTACTTTAAGATTATTTTTTTATTCCAAGATTGGGGTAGTGTCCTACAACTGTGTCCATCGATTGATGAGCACAGCAGGCTTTCCCAGCAAATTCACACTCGATGGTTTTTAGTTAATAAATTGTCAAATGTAGAAGTTAGAAATTTGAAAATATGAAAGGTTCCCTTTACACCCAAGGAAATATACGTTGCACCGAAATATACAGAACATGAAATGTTTATATTTCGGTCGTAATTGTTGAGCACGAAATTGGCGAGTAAGTAAAGGAGGATATAGCATCACGGCTAATTTTGCAACAGTCCGCATAAAAATGTGGAGCAAGGACCGACTGTTGGTTATTTCGAGTTCGTAACGTGTAATGGTCTAGGCATTCCAAGAAGCCTGCAGACTTATTCCTTTTTGAGAGAAGAGTTTGGTCTACGAGGCGTTCAGGTTCCGGGATATATTTGGACCTCGAAGAAAAGAGGGAATTCTACAGATCGTCCAACAGTGCCATCCGTAAGTGGACATCTGTAAGTGTCTTTATATTTAATATATTTCTTTCATGCCAATAATGTAATAATAAATTCATATTATAATTTATTCTAATTAAGAAAGCGTCGGGAAAATGTAACACGTGCGTTATGGAAATTAGGTGGAAATTCACATCGATTGTGTACATATGTATATGCTTACGATGCATATCCATGTAATATTATATTGTATATTTTATTATTAATAATATTAATATATCATATTGTCAACTAAATTAGTAATTTATATTTTTTCATTTCATTCGCTCGTCCAATTCCCACAACCTTTGATTCGTAGCACACTTATTAATACGATACAAAGTATTCAGAATTTTCTAGACAAGCATACACATAGTTAATTATTTATTTTAAAATACATTAACTAAATGTTTAAAAAAAAATAATTTCAATATACCGGTTAGTGAACTATCTACGAATATTAAAATACGCTGCAAGACGAATGGGCGGGGATTCCCCAGTTACTCCAGTTCACGTTGATGGAAATACCAGATTCCATGGCAACGAAAGTGCTGCCAGATTAAAAGCAACCTTGGATACAACATTTTGGTAGTCAATCAACCATGCCTGAAATTTATCTATATTTTGCAATCATTTATTTGTATTTTCTTTTGTTTGTTTCGTTTAGTTTCTGAAGTTCACCATATTGTTTATTTTCGAATGTGTAATCTCGATTTCGTTTACAATGTATTCGTATTCGTCGATTGAACCAATCTGAACGTATACATACATGAAATATTATGACGTCAAAATTTGAATAATATATGACGCAGCAAGTTCAAAATCAAGTCATGTTTTTTTAACCAGAGTTCATACATATATTACATTTTATATTAAATTATTACCGAATTATTTTATAAACTGTACTATAACACGTCTATTTATTATATTATACTTTTATGCACATAAAAATTGTATGTATAAAGATAATAATAATATATAAAAATTAATATATATACATTATTATCCATAATAAATATGAAAATAAATAATACATCCAATATAATTACCGACAGTCGACAAAATGTATATCAGCGAGTAAAATGCAATTGCGAAACGAAGTTTATTATAAATAAAATGTATATATCAGCGTCTAATTTAAAAACTAAACTCAACCAGAGGTCAAATTACAAGTAGAAAAAAAGGATGCGTTTTCGAAGGTACTAGAAAATTGTGGAATATAATCGCGGAAAGGCATTGCATCTAACTGTATAGTTTCGCGACATTCAAGGAGAGGCGCTAGTTGTCCATTTCTGGAGCTTTCTGAAAATCTGCGCCGGCTCAAAGACTGAGCATTCACGAGTCATCACGTATCTTTGCGAGTATAAAAGAACGAATTGTGGAAAATAGAACGAAAGCACTATTGTTCTGAGGTCAAGCGTTATGGACCAGGTAAACATTATCGAATGGTTGATTATTGTTAAGCAGTTTCTGCGCTCAAAAGATCGTAATTTTCAGAAGCACTGTGTTCTTGCACGATGTCATTAATTGAACACGCTTTGCCCGAAAAATTGTTGTGCTCGTTTGATTTGTGCATTTCTACGATGTTTTTTTCGCTTATTCTATTAGATTAGCGTTAAGACTTATAATTTTAAGACTTTGTTTCACAATTCTTGACAAGTTTTCTTTAGTATTTAATTTTCTTTGTTCTGTTATTAACATTCGTCGATCTTCTAGAAAGAACATTGTGCGACGTTGCATCACTAGTTTTTGTTTCTTCATGATTTGAATTTAATAATGTTTCATTAACGTTTGCAGGTATCTGTGTTAAAAGAAAAAGGTAATTCTGCTTTGCAAGACAGAAGGTTCAAGGAAGCCATCACGTATTATACAGAAGCAATTGCCTTAGACTCGAACAATCATGTTCTTTACAGTAATAGATCTGCAGCATACGCCAAAGCAGGTCAATATGAACAGGCATTGGCAGATGCAGAAAAAACAGTGAGTTTGAAACCTGATTGGGCAAAAGGATATTCTCGTAAAGGTAGCGCGCTTGCATATTTGGGTAAATTAGATGCATCGATCAAAGCTTACGAAACTGGCCTACAATTAGATCCCAATAATGCACAACTTAAAAGCAGTTTGGCCGAAGTTAAAGCGCAGAAACAAGCAGCAGCTGCTAATCCCTTTAATACGCCTGATTTGTTTGTGAAACTTGCGAACGATAGTAGAACCAAAGGTTACCTTCAAGATCCAGAATACCTAAATCTTCTACAAGAACTTAGAAACAATCCACAATCTCTTGCTACAAAATTACAAGATACAAGAGTGCTTACAACTCTTAGCGTAATATTAGGTTTGAATACGGATATGGATGAACCAATGGAAACAGATCCACCAGAACCACCGAAACCTAAACAAGAATCTCCTAAGCCTCAAAAGAAAGAAGAAGATAACCTTCCGCCTGAAAAGAAAGAAGCACTAAACGAGAAACAGTTGGGTAACGATGCTTATAAAAAGAAAAATTTCGAAGAAGCGCTTCAGCATTATAACAAAGCAGTGGAATTAGACCCTACAGAAATCATTTATTTGTTAAACATAGCTGCAGTATATTTTGAACAAAAAGAATATGATAAATGTATTGCACAATGTGAAAAAGCTATTGAAGTTGGAAGAGAGAATAGAGCAGATTTTAAATTAATAGCAAAAGCGTTTACACGAATCGGGCACGCGTATAAAAAGATGGGCAATTGGAAACAAGCGAAGGTGTATTACGAAAAATCTATGTCAGAGCACAGAACACCTGAAATTAAGACTCTGCTTTCAGACATTGATAAAATTATTAAAGAAGAAGAACGAAAAGCGTATATTGATCCAGTAAAAGCGGAAGAAGAAAAAGAACTGGGAAATCAAAAGTACAAAGATGGAGATTATCCAGCAGCGATTAAGCATTATACAGAAGCTATTAAAAGAAATCCTGATGACCCAAAATATTACAGCAACAGAGCTGCTTGCTATACCAAATTAGCAGCGTTTGATCTCGGATTGAAAGATTGTGAAAAATGTGTTGAAATCGATCCGAAGTTTATCAAAGGTTGGATAAGGAAAGGGAAGATTTTGCAAGGCTTACAGCAACAAGGAAAAGCGCTTACCGCTTATCAGAAAGCATTAGAACTGGATCCTTCGAATAGTGAGGCATTAGAAGGATATCGTTCGTGTGCAGTTTCTGTCAGTTCTAATCCTGAAGAAGTAAGAAAGAGAGCAATGGCAGATCCAGAAGTTCAAAGTATACTGCGGGATCCTGCTATGAGACTTATTTTAGAACAAATGCAAAGCGATCCTAGAGCCTTGCAAGAGTAAGTATTTTCTACATGTTTCATACATATTGTATTAGAAATACAATTCGGGAGCATATTATTAAATTTCTTTTCTATTTACAGCCACTTAAAGAATCCAGATATAGCAGCCAAGTTGCAAAAATTGTTGGAATCAGGACTTATAGCTATTCATTGAAAAGAAAAATATCTGTATTTGTGCATAGCTCTGTGCATGACTTTATCGTCGCCAAGTTCCTTTGGTATTAAAGAAACAGTACTGTTTATTATATTTTTATGTATTAGAGATATGTTCTTAAACCGTGCAGACCGATCAGTGGCATATTCGTTCTACGCCTGTATTCGGAAAAGCCATTTCAAGTATGTTTGGTTATAAACGAGATACTTTTGCGTGATGCGGTGGCCTTTCTGGTCATAGACCATGTTTGCATCGTAAATTCTGTTACGGTAGTTGTGTATGTTTTAATATACCTTATAGAGTGTAACTCTGTAAGGAAGGAACTATTATATAATTACAAGCTTTTGCATAATTTTTACACAACACTTCCAATTGTAAATCAACAATATCATCGACATCAACCATGCAATGATACACACTTACATTTGTTACGCGGTCTAGATTAAATGAAATTACTACCTTAAACCTGATTGTCTTGGATAAACGTTTCCATGCATTAAAACAAACGTGTACCTTTTACTTTATAGGTGATATCATTTTGATTTAAAGCTAATACTGCAACAACAGAGAGAAATAACAATAGCGATAATTACTATGTAATTACGATAGTTGTATGATTTATTTAAGGCCAAATTTTCTTTCGGTATAAGAGCCGGGTAAAAAACGTATTAAGGTGGGATATTCTTGAATAATTCCCCTGACCTACTGTAAGAACTATCGTTTATTTATGTTACAGTAGTTTTACATTTATGTTTACAACTTATGAACATTAGCGTAGTACTGCATAAACGTATCTGTTACTTTATTCCGTTTTGATTCTTTAGTTCTAAAAATAGTAATTAACTTTACGCTGGAAACTCTTCAAATACATAACAATATGACAAAAGATATTAATAAACCAAATAAATACATTGAAAGCATACAAAATTAATTGGAGTTATATTACTACTCTAAGCGAACGTAACATGCTCTTAGTTTACAATTCATTATCCTAGTATTAAGATTTACAATTTTTTATGAGTATGAACGCTTGGTTGTGCCGAATGGATACTCGTTAAAGAGAAACCTGTTTTCTGTTTTTATTTTGTCCTAATAAAGCACAAATACTTTGGTTGTGTGTTTTGATATGTATATAGGCATAAACATGTATAGATTGATTGCAGCGCAACCTACTATCCGTACAAAACTAAATGCCTATATGTAACAAAATATATAAGTATATGTACTGAAGTTGCATGAACGAGTACGACGCATGAGCACATCGTGCAAGATACAGTTTAGTTCTGTCAGATATCGTAGATAGCGCTACAGTCAACGTACCAATACCGAACACGACAGATTGTTGTCTCCAGAGCGATTTAATAAAAAATCAGAGACGGAAAACCGAACACGCGATCGTTGTCGTGCGTGATCGCGGATTTTTTCACGACAAAAGAGCGACGAGAGAATCAAGTCGCGGTGAGGGCACCCAGAAATCAGGATACGAGCCTGAACCATCTTAAGCGCGGTGGGCCGCCGCGCTGGTGGGCCTAGCAGACGACATGTTGGCTGCAGGGAGCACCTCGTCTCGGATGTTTTGGCCGCGAATTTCCTCGGGGATTATTGAGTGAGGATAGTGATCGAACGCGGTAATAGCGAGGTGACGAGAGAGCAAAATTACTCTCGAGGGTGTGCGCGAGAGAGGGCACGCGGTTGGGTTCCCCGAGTGGTGGTTGTGCCGTGGTCGACGACGAGGAGTCTGCGGAGAGGGGTAAAGACTAGCGAGGCGGCGTGGAGGGGGAACCCGGACGAGCCCTCGAAAAATTGAGGAGTCAAGGAACGAAAATCGGGAAAGAAAAAAAAGGAAAATACGAACGGCCGTGTACGCGAGTGAAGCTTTGAAAAGAAGCAGATCGTCGAAACGAAACAGGGAGAAAAGTCTGAAAGAGCTGGTTGGTCGCGTACGTTATCTTCCTTATCTACGGGAGCCGTCGATTCGTGACTTTCTTCGATTTACTCGAATAACGAGGTAGCAGCGCACCGGAGCCGATCTATTTTAACTTCTCGTTGTTCCGTAGGAAGGGTAGGGGACCGGGAGGCGAGGCGAGGTCGAGCTGTCGCGTACACGCGTCGAGTCCCTTCCTCCTGAAACGATTTCGCGTGTGTCTCGTGTTCGCGGGCCATCACAGGAGGCGCATCGGACAGTGCACGTCAACCTATTATCCCAGTCCCGGTCTCGCTCCCACTCTCGAATGCTCGTCGTGCCTCGTGCGTACTCCCTCTATCGAAACCTGCCGCGAGGCACTCGCGGCCGGTTTTGCCAGTGTTAAACGGAAGATTCGGAAGTGGTTCGCGAGTCATTCGCATCGTCGGTGTTTTCCTGTCCCGTCGCGTCGCGTAAACCACCGTTCAACCGTGCTCGAGCTCGCCCACTTTCTTCCTGACGGATCAATTTGTTATCGGGCCAGGTGTCACGACCCGTGAACGTCGGTTCGGCACCGATTGCCCTCGACACGTCCACGCAAGCCACGTTCTTCATCGTATTTCGGTATTTTCTTTCAGCGTTGGAGCCATCCATCGCGTTGGACCACCAGCAGCACCGTCGATGTGTAGCTATGGTTTCGCGGGCAGTGCGAGATAGTGAAAAAGAAGCCGTGAAGTGAACGTGTGTGTGTACATAATCGGGGATCAACATACGCGTAGTTGGTGCACGAAACGAGGAGATTGAAAGGAGTACAAAGGGAGGAAAAGAAAGAAGATAGGAGAGAGGAAGGTCTTAAGGAGAGGCCGATCGGTGTAACCGATAGTGGGTGGAAAAGAGAGAGTTTGATAGAAGGACGAAGCTTTTGGTAGCGAGCGCGGTGCGACGGTGACGGATAAGTATCAAGTGACAGACACGAAGGAACGAACACGTAAAGGGAGTGAATCTCCTTGTATCGCGGCAGAGGGTGTACTTATCGAACGTCGCGTTCACGCGAGATAAACAACACGCGCCGCCGCCGGTAGTGCTCGTAGCGCGAGCCGTTCGCTCGGGAGTAGTGGTGATATTTTTCTCTAAACCGAGAACAACAGAGAACAACAGAAGTGGAAGGGAAGAGCGAAGAGGGTGAGCCGCGCGTGTCTCTCTCGTGGTGTGTCATGGGGTGTTTCGGCAGCCAGAGCAGCAAGGCCAGCCAGGATGACAGCAAGAACCAGAAGAGGCGCTCGGATGCCATCACCAGGCAATTGCAAAAGGATAAGCAAGTTTACCGAGCTACTCACAGGCTCTTATTACTCGGTAAGTGTTTTCGACGAACCTTTCCCGTTTATCACCGCTAATCTCCGTGTATCGCGATACGAATGTCGTTCGATAAGTAGCCGAATTCGGGGCTATGGAGGCGGGCTTTTCCAACAATTCACTACTTATCGAGCAAACATTGACAGCGTGTGCTGTACTCCCAACTCTATTGTTTATTTCCTCGGCATGATAGAACATTAAACTATAATATTAAAATAGTCAGTTACTGGTTGTTGTTTCATTTTACACGACTATTTGTTCTCGATAGAAAATTTAGTCGATCGGAACCGAAAATGTGTCAAATTGTTGAATATATCGTATATATTCTATGACCAAAAATGTAGAAAATAAATGTAACACCGTATGTATTCCGTTCGTTACCTTGCTGGGGGGCAGAGTAGGGAATGCACATGTGTGTGAATAATGCGTGTGAGCGAGGGACGTTCCTATCGGCTACTTAGGGCGCGTTTATACTAAACGAGTATAGAACGTAGAGCAAGTTCGTGCTGGTTTAATGTAAATGACCATTGGACAAAGTAATCGGTTACTACACGAAACAACCGAATGCGAGCGAATGTTCGTGGAGCTTAAATCGAGCATCCAAACACTCGGTGTATCGAATTGGATCAAGTCGAATCGAATCACGCTGAATCGAGTTTATCGAATTAAATCGCGTCAAATCGAATCTCTTTAAGTTAAATCTCGACAAATCGATGAACATGGATTTGAAGCACATGGAATTCGGAGGCGTTAAATTGAATAACATGGAATAGAAACTCGTTGAATCGGAACATGTGGAATTGATAAGTATCGAATCGCGTGGAATTGAAACGCGCCGAATTGAGTCACACGAAATTGAAAAGCGAAGAACTAAATCACACGAAATTGACTCGAGTGGAATTGGAACGTGTCGAGTCGATTCGACTAGTAAGCGTTCCGTTGGTTTTGTTCGAAATTTTGTCAAACATGTAAAAGAACGAACGTTTGCTCGCTCGGTCCAGACGCGTTCTTATATGACGGCCACTTATCGAACGACTTCTGTACTTACCTATACTAGCTATAATCCCCTTTCGTTTCACGGTATGCTCCGTTAAATTTGTGCACATGTGCTGTCTCTGTAAACGTATACACGTGTCAGGGACGGTGAAAATATTTCCAGCCAGAGTGTACCAGTTGAATCGACTTCGATCTCCAATTTTGGACAAAAAGCGTCCGGCCAGAGGACAGGTTGAACATTATCGTGATGTTCAGCAGCGCGTAATTCAATTTTATCGATTATCGTATGAGCCGGCACCCACGAATATCCAGCGGGCTTCTCGTGTTGTACCCTTTTTCGTGCGCTCTCTTCGTCTCCTTCTTTTCCTTCTCCCGAGCAGCTTTTTTCGCACAGGCAGCGGCCAACGTGGGTGCGCGCGTGCGCACTCGCACACACGGCACACGGGTTCAAAAGCACGCACTCACGCACGCACGCACACTGTCCACTCATCACGATGCTTAACCCAACACCTAGCCATTACCTTCCTATTCTTCGTTTATGTAGGTCGTCGTTCTAATTCGACGCGAATGTGTGCTGCGTTGCGTATAGTCGGCTTCGTAACTGTAGGTTACGAAGCAACAGCTGTTACTCTGTATTGTCTCCCCATCCTGTGCAATTACGATTCTTAAAAAAAAACCAATGTTATAATATCTCGTTCGCGCATTTGGTGACTGACTTATTCTTCGACCAAGGAGAATTATGTAAAAAGGAAAACAGTTGGAAAATTTATTTTTCTTATGATTCGTTAGTTCTTTTTTTATCGAAAAAGTATATGTATGTACGTAATATTTTTGCGTTACAGGAGCAGGAGAATCCGGGAAAAGCACGATCGTCAAACAGATGAGGATATTGCACGTGAATGGTTTCAGCGAAGCGTAAGTTTCATTATTCTAATACAGTACAGTTTTAAGCTGGCTCCAATATTTGATATTGTTCACGCAACGCGACAAATACCAGCTGTATATACGTAACCTTCAGTCCCTTTTTTGTTCCCATTAATACGTGCTCGTGAATGATTCAGTCGGTATAACCAATTCGGTCCATCTTGCGATTGTAACATCAACACGCGGTCAAAACGAATTCGCTACAATTTTTCCTGCTTTTTTTCGTCGTTTATCGATTTTCCATTTCCCACCAGAATTCACTCTGGCGACGTTTCGTTTGCATTCGACGTCCTTGTCTTCGCTTTCATTAGATACCTTTTCCTTTCCTTTTATCTTACTGACCGAGCTATTTTCCACGTCCAACTCTGTTTATTGGAAGTTGGCGAATCAAAAACATAACCGCGAAACGATACACGGATTGGTAGGCCAGAGAGAGATACACGGATTGTTATCGTAAAAAAGAATGCCACGGTACATGTATACGTGGAAAATCAGGAGCAACTAGATTGGATGAAAACGACGTGCAAACAGACGGCACGGCTCGGTTCGCGCCTCTGTCGTAAATTCTGTCTGCCTCCGGTGCTGATAACGGGGACCTGCGAAGCACGCCTTACTATACTTACATTTCACGAAGATTTCTTTTCTTCATTCCGATTCTTTCTTCCATCGACATTAACGTATTAATTCTAAATACAAATACATAGCATAAACGTTTTGTTCCTCAAACTTTTATGGACCGAGTCGCATTCTGGAAAATTACAATGTGGATCTTCGTACGTAGAAGCATCATTATCCAAGTCTGACAGTTTTAGAAAATTTGCAACATAAAAGTATACGAATAGATGCGTGATATTAGTAGTTATCGAGGCGATAGTTCCTTTGGCACCGTCTCTGACAACAGACGCACGGAACTTTTCTCGCAGCGAGCGGCGGGAAATCATTCGTTCGTTTGAATTTCACAAACTACTTTTTGTTGGTCGCGCGATTCTGAGAAGCGTTACGTGTTTGATGCAGATCCCTTGGCCGTTTATTATGGAAACATACCGTAGAACATCAGTATTTTTAGTTCTTTCCTTTTTCCGATTCTCCCTCTCTCCATCTTTTTAGATTTTGCAAGCTAACCACGTATCGTTCAATTTCACCTTCGATTGCCTCCCGTCCTCCTTTTTCCGCGACGCAGCGGGCGGGTAAAATATAAACCGGCCAATTCCGAAAATAACTTCGTTGTCGCATCTTCCTCGCGATCTATTCGTAATTTACTCGTAAACGCATCGCGCGGACTGTACGATCGTGGATCTTAAATTGACTCGCGTCTCGGACAATTGGCCGAATCATATTTTTAGGATACGTTCAAGGAAATACCGTTATCGCGTATCTCGGAGACGAAACTACGTTAAAATACGTCCTAGCGATAGCATCGTTCTGTTGGACGCTCATGCGATTATTTTTAGCATTCTTGTATTTGAATATCGCGTGAGGTGGAACTTTCCCTGAAAATACCTTCGAAGAGAACTTGTGGGGTCTGTGTTGATCCGTGGTCACGAACACCAAATTCGACGACAATCGTCGCTGTTACCGAAGAAAAAGGGAAAACGTGTTTTAAAAAGGGAAGGGAGCTTTCGATAGGAGATGTACATATACCGTGCGACAGTTGTCCTTTCGTCTTTAAGAAAAACATGACCAGAATAATGGAGTAACGAAGACTGTAATCGTTCTCCATCGTTAACACTCGAGTACGATGTAGGCTTTCTTTAGAACACATACGCAAACTTGATTACTTTTTTATATTCAAATTTGCAAGTTATGTATATCCATATTTTCAGAAACCTATAAAATTAAACTAGTGGTAGATCTCGTTCCCGTAGTTGCCATATTTTCCCTAAGGAAGCCAAATATACTCTTGATTGTACGTAGGCACGTCGCGGTTTGATAGTAGCTGCTCCAAGCGACGACAGGAGCCTGGCACAGGTGTCACACGATACTAGGGCCACACACGAACATGATTCGTTCTTTTCGTTTGACTTAACCTTTGGAAACCCGTGACTCGGTGTATTTAAATCAGATATCTGTTATGGATCGTCTATGTTCGTTGCGGGGAAAGTCCTATATTAGATTCTTGTTAGATTTTTCTTAGATAGTTTGGAATCTGTTTGCATATTTCTTGGATTCTTGTAGATTTTTTCTATTAACACATTGTGTCGTTATATGGAGTAACGTCTCTTTCCGCACCATCCTTTCATTAGTTTCCCGCTTTTACGACCATTTTAGTTTATCGCTCGGGGCTGATATCGGTAGAGACACCGATTATAAATTAAAGCGTTACACGGTGAAGAATCAAGGACGACGTAATCCTTTCGATATTCAGAGACGAAAACAAGAACGAAAGCGGTGGAAGTATGGAATCTATTGTCTCTGTTTAGTAACACTGATTGCTTTATTTTTAATTATCGGCGATGAACTTGAATAGATCACAGTCTTCGGTTCGTTTTATTCGCGACAATGTCGAGGAAGAATGACACTCGAACGTAATAAAGATTGCTTTCCAAAACATGAACGAGCATTGATCATTCGTGTTTGAACGACACGATCAAGGTTCTTTCGAAACTCGGTCACTGATCATGATTATGATCAACAAATAATTCACAAGCAATTTTATAAAGTATGACTGTGTATCGTTCGGTGACATTTTCGTGAATAAAATCGCTTTAGTACGGATACAGTAACTATTCTAGGTAGGAACTAGAATGGTATCCTAAAAATGTGAACTGGTCCTCTCGCCAGGAATTATAGGAATAAGTGGTATTCGTTACTTCTGGAAGAAAGCCAGTTTTGATCGTTCATGAACGTCGCGTTATGAAAGACGAGTACAGAGAACTTCGAGCATACAGATTTCACCGTAGATTTTAGTTACAATTGTTCTAGTAGTTTCGTAAACAACGAAATACAAAGATGTAGGAATCCATCAAAAAATCGAAACTGAACAATCGAGAAATTGATCATAACTATTCCTGGATCCCTAATGACCCCGATCCTATATTTCCTACTTTTCACCGAATCAAGGTGGTATCCTGTGACCCTAACGCGATCGAATCTTCGATTTGAACGCTTTATCGAGCGTTCACTTAACGAATGTTTGGTCGGTGCAATTGAACGACAAAGTACATCGTTTGTTTCTTACGTTTTCTGTGCAGGGAAAAGCGGCAAAAAATCGAGGACATTAAGAAGAATATCAGAGACGCGATACTGGTAAGAATTTCTTTCAGATATTTATTCACGCGATTCATTTATACGTTCGCGATGTTTCTTCTTCGAGTTCGTGAATCGCGATCCCTCTTCGCCCCGTCGTTTTTTTAGCGTACGTTTTCTGCTTATTTTCATTTCTCCTTGCACTTTTACAATCAACGAGAGTCATTGTTCGTGTTAAAGTTCCGTATACAATCTATGGTGTTTGTTCACGATATATTATTGTTTGAAACTCGTTTCTGTATCTTCCAATTGTAATGTAGGTTTTCAAATTCTTGAGAATCAATGTGAAAGATAAGAAAAGCAAGTAGAGCCCGTGATGCAGGAAGATATCGAGATTCTGCTGCATCATCGACGTTACGGAATAGTAGAAAAACAGTTTAGCGACTTGAAAAACGATCAAATCTTTCTCGATTTCTCCATTCATCGTTTCCGTGTTGATGCGTACAAATTTGTAACCCATTTGAACCGGTTCTCGTCATTAACGTTACGTGATACGCCCGTAAATTCGCGACACGAATATTGCCAGATACACAGGGTATTGTCATCAATTTGTCGTTCGAGGCCGTGTTTGGATACGCGTGTCGTACGTAACCTTGCAATCGCTTCCGTATGTCGGGTGAACGTAATAGACAAGTTTCCCCGCGGTATTTAAGGATTACGAATGACGCTATCTACCTATGAAACAAATTTACACAATAATGACGCTAGCATCTTTCAAACGTTTCGCTCGAAAATTTTCATGATAATCCATTAACATTGAAACATTACGTCATGGAAATTTGCAACCACCTGCACCGTCCAAATGATCCATACTTTGATCGATCGATCATGGAGGACTGCGCTAGAAGTAAACCAATAAATCCACCTAATTTGTCGAAGAAACAGACATTCGATAAAAATACGAAGATCTTAAATTCGTACAGAACTACTCGCTCGATTGTTTCAGTCGATAATATTTATATAACTAAGTCTAGTTTCGTGAGCGGAGAAGGGAAGATGCTTTAACGCGTGTAATCTTTTTTTCAGACGATCACCAGCGCGATGAGCACGTTAACGCCACCCGTTGCTTTGGAGGATCCAGCGAATCAGAGCAACGTCGATTATGTCCTGAATGTTTCGTCCTCGCCGGACTTCGATTATCCCCCGGTGAGTCAGTCGTGTTACGTTTGTTTTGCGTATTATTTCGTCTTCTCGAACGTAATACCATGAAAAACACGTTCGTTACGTCTCGCGTTCTATCCTGGATGAAAGCACTCGCAAATGGGAAACTTTATGGGCGCAACGTGAATGCGATTTATCGTATTTGCATGAAAGCCGGTTACAGCGTGAGCGTAATTTTAAAGCAGCCTGCAGAACGAACATCGTCTTTTCTAGCCTGTCGAATATAATTTATTATTTTTTCTATATCAACAAGAAGTACTGGCCGATGTGTTTGCTTCTTAGGGTTTGTACAGACACGTGTAACGCGATCAACAGGAGGAGCTTTAAAAGCTATATCTTAGGATTTCCGTGGACTTTTATTCGCTTATATTACGGATCGTGTTATGAATCCCAACTTTCTTTCGTTCCCCACTGTATGTTATATTCAAGATCGTGGTATAGTCACTCGATAATTTTTCGCTTTCAGGGCTCTAAATATGGTCTTTGATATTTCGATATCGTAAAAAATGTTGAAGTTCTAACACTACATATTGATCGTTCGAGGTCCCAATTTCCATAGGAGCTTCGAGTAATAGATTGGAACGGCGAGATACCGATCATTTGTTCGCATGAGAGCCACTGTACGGTATGATCAGTGTTTACAATGTTTACATAGCCATCGCACATGTTGGTTAGCTATATTGTGTCCCGGCTATGATGTGCTGCGCCATTCCTAGCCTCGTATACACATACGCGTGCACGCGTTTACTTTAATCGTATTGTTGCACAGAGAGAAACTTGTACAGTGGAAAACACGATCGTGTTTCTTTGCTGTTGATCCGCGAATGTTCCGCGACTCGAATCGTTCGAACGTGTCACGGTGAAAGTATTCGAGTCGCGAGAATCCGTAAATTTTCGGTGATTTTGCAGAATCATCTGGCCACGTTGGAAAAAACACGAGAAATCCGAGATCCGACTCGCGATTGCAATTTTATGGCCTGCGTTTCGGTCTGGATTTAATCATTGGCCGCGTTTAACCGAACTCGATGATTAATCATTTACCAATGACAGAGTTAAACTTTGAAAACGAATGAAATTTCGATTAAACGATTTCCCGAACGCGTTAACGTATGCAAAACCGACACTGCGTCTTGCGTTATTTATCTAACTGGCGACGCACCAGGTGCGGCTTATAAATAATAGGGTGTCATCCGAAACGTTGAGTTTATTGTGCAGTAAGTAACGTAACTGATAGTCAGACGAGCGAGCACGTTTTTGCAAAGTAATTTTAATCGCAAAACGGTGTACATTCGTAACTATCGATCGAGAAAGTGAATTGCAATCGAGTCAAGTATCGGTATAAATAACAAATGAATAATTTATCGAGTTTCCATGACTAATTATTACGTATGATCAAACGTTAGAATACATTAACGATCTATCGCGAAGTCGATGTAACTTGCATGATCAGGAACTTGACGAATTTGAGAAAGTGCAACGACAAATCAACAGATCTTTAAAGAATAAATTATCTTACCGATTTCCATCGCACGTTTCCAAAGAGGTGTGGCTGAACCGTTGCCCTGAATACAGAATCGCTGGAACGGGTTAAATAACGTTTATGGAGTGCACGCGTGTGTCGTAATACAGAGGACTCCCGCTATATTGCCATCGGGCGACGACGCTGACACTCGGCGATCTAACCCGTAGTGATATAACGCGTAGCGACACAGCGGGTAGCTATTTGCCGAACAAAGCGTCACGATCGAGGAACGAAGGAAACATTGTCATTTTCTTTGACTAGTAATTGACTGGATGACAAAAAGTTGTGTTAGCACGCTAGAATCATGAATCTTTCCTGTGCCAAAAAGATGAACCGAGGTTTCGAGAGACGCGAACGTTCGAAAGTAACGAAACGAAACGACGCGGCGCGTCTCGAAATAAAGTCGTCGCGACAAAATAATCCGCGTGTTTTGCGTCATTCACTGCCAGTTGGCGAGTACGTGCGTACGTAGATACGCGGCTGTGTACAGTACCTTTGCGTCTGGCTTTTGTGTACATGAAATCTATTGTAGCCTGTCGTTTGCTACACGTGATCCTGTACCATGACCATCGAGAACGATGCACCCAAATTAATCGAATTAAATCGCTTGTCCTAACAGTTTGGCTCGGGAACTGCCGCGCGTTGCCGGTAGTCGTTCGCGTTTGCGGACTTTAAGAACAGAATGTCCGTCGACGGTTTTGATATATTAACGCTTTGGCTGCGTTAATCGAGGTGTAGCTTTCGATAGGAAGGAAGAAAATATCTATTGCATTCGGTCATTTGCATCGATCAATAACGTTTATACGCCGCTATTTTCTACGTATCGACTATTCGAATAGGTAATTAGGAAAAGCAGGGAACGGTACGTGGGTAACGCGAAAGTTTTGAGAATCACGCGTTGACAGTTTTAGTAAGACAGAAGCGAAAAGTTTTACGAGTTTAATTAAAGGCTGTCGAGAAGTTTGAGATGAATTTCTGTTTGATAATAACGATGGTTGTGACTGGTATTATTTGTATCTGCGCCCAGGCAGTGGTCGTTTTGCCAAGATACACGCTAGTAGAAGGAGCTACGTATGTATTTAGCGGCAGCTCTCAACAGGAAGTCGCCACGCCAGTACCGCGTCTACCTCTTTTTTCCATTTCGTTCTGTTTCACGACGTTCGACGGCCCATGACCGATTTGTCACTGTCTTTCGGCTCTTTACGTATCTTGAGAGCCTCGTTGCGGACCGTGGGCCGTGGACACGAAAGATTATTTCGAGCGAACCTCACGCTTAATTTGACCGTGTGGTACATACTTGGATGCCACGACGTGTTCATATTTTACGAGGTATAATAAAATAAACTCTGAAATGGTCGTTGGTAGATCTCTGTAAACATCGAACGATTATTATTTATGGCTTTTGCGGTTACTCTTTTACGATTTACTTCGGTCTATCGTGTAAATTGTCTTATGGACGATGATAGAAGATGAAAAGTGGCGATTCTGTCGATGCGAAAATAACTATTTATTTGCTTGAACCGTAGCGACACAACACGTGTGGGGACGCAATGCACGAAGATAGCACGTGTGGCGATCGTAAATTTGGAATTTTTAGAAATAGCGGATTTATTTCGGGGTAAATGTTTATCGATAATATCAGAATAGTCGCCGTTATTAAGACAAGTAGAACAGTCGAGAATAATTTGCGAGCCGAAGGCTCATTTTCGAACTAAAAGTGATGAAAAATAGATATTCGAGTCGAAGACAGCTTTGTCGAAATTTCGGGTGATTGGCCCTATAGATGTACACGTGACTGCCTAAACGGACACAAAACGTGGCTATACACAAAGGAATACTATGGATTAACAAGAGGAGTTACGTTTGTTTTTGTCAGTTGACAAGAGGGGCCAATTGCACGTGACTTATTTTAGAATTAGAATTTTCGGCATGAATGCAAATCTCTCCCGTTGTCACGTGATCAGTTGTTCGATTATTCTGAAATTGAACGGTTTTATCACTGAAAGTGATTTTAATAAAGCAATAATAGTTATATATTTCCAATATCGATAAGTTTGCTAAGTTTAGGTTAGAGCTATACGAATATTCAAAGATATAACAGATAGGTAATCGAAAAAGGTTCGCAGTTAGCGCCATGACCGACGTTCAAATTCCGCAAGTTGGTTCAGTTTGCTCGAGATCGAAAGCGCTTGGGAACTGTCCCATCGCAAAACAGAAATCTCTCACCTCGAGGAAGTTTCGAAGGGGTTTCTCAATGGGGCGCGCTTTAACTTTACCAACGACGATGTAGTTAATTTTCGCAGCAAGTAACTTGCCAATGTCCATCGTCTCCTTACTCTGAAAATCAGATTCCGCTAACTCCGTTGTCCTATGGTTACCGTGAGTTCTCTTGTTCAGGAGTCCCTTGATAACCTCGACGGGAAGATAAATGCAACGAACAGTTTTCTAATAAGAGATTTTAGAAAATGTCTTCTCGTTCGACGAAACTATGACGTAGGATACCTCAACGATTGATAGGGTTTCAAGCCAAATTTTGTTTCGTCACTACCGCGCAGCTTTTTAGATAATTAATGAGACAGATCGACGGTAGCCGCCAAACGGTGAACTTATTTGTAAATCAGCCACAAATATAACGGGACGCGATCATTTATTTTCGAAGGTTAATTTCTCATATTCGTGTTTTACAGGAATTCTACGAAATCGTCGAAACGTTATGGAAGGATCGGGGTGTTCAACAGAGCTTCGAGAGGAGTAACGAGTACCAGCTGATCGACTGCGCCAAATAGTAAGTGCCATTTTTGTTACCCTGCCGCAACGGGAGGCTGACCGAGTGTCCATCGACACCGATAATAGAGCGGCAACTTGGAAAATTATTATAACGTCAGTTCACGCAGCCGGCGCGGCCGAGCGTCTTAATATAAAGTAGTGGAACAGCCGTTGACGCGTGTCGTTGATAAAAATAAGAGGGTAAAGTTATTACCCACCTTAGTCGCGTTTGATGCTGTTCTGCACTGCACTGTGTGTTCGAGGCGCGAAGCATGGCTATTCTAATCTGCCCTTCCTTCGATTCCCCTCCTATCGCCATCACGATCACGATAAGAACACGCGAACGATAACGTTTTATGCCCAAGACGACGATGGAACAGCGAGTAGCTGCATTTAGCTACGTTCGTTGTCCGTTCGAAAATCACCTGCCTTTTAAGAGTTCGCTCTTAAAAATAATCACGAGCATTACGTTCAACACTGTCGCGACTCTGTACTCTTCAACGGCGATACTTAACAAGATTCGTGTTTCGTTACACGTCTCAGGCTTGTAAATAAAACATCCGACTAAATTTCATAAGCGTTCTCATGACGGCGATACATATGGTGTATCCGTATATATTCGTGGGCCTATGACACCGATTTAATGCCAATGAAGACAATGCCTTAACGAGGTAATCGCTTTAATAGCGGTCACTCGTTTATCCGGGGGTTCTCAATCAATTGGCCCAACCTCGAACTTTTTCGCTCTGTGTTTCGCTGACACGCGAACCTTTGACATTCGTATCGATGTAAATAGCTTTATTTCGATGTATTGTTAATTTTTACTATGTTAATGTCAACGACCGTGTACGTGAAGCACGTACGAATAGCCTGCGGCTCTTGGTTCAATGATATTTTTAATAAAAACATTCGAAAAAACAATGTTTAAACTTTCCTTCGTATCAAATATAACCTTTTTCTAGATAACCTGATTATACAGCTTCTCCCTATGACACAAAGGATTCGAATAAACGTATTCGCACAGTCGTGTTTGCATAGTAACCTTGAATGTTTATTTTATCTCGTTGAAATTTTTTGCCAAACATCTTTCGGTTTTATTAAAAGCGAGTCGGAAATATATTTTATAGACTGATAGAGTTTATCGCGTGAACGGTTTCGCATTGACGCGGTAATTTTGTATCGAAACTGAATACGCAGGAGCTCGAAAATCGTGCACGAGTTTGTCGAACGTTATTTTCGCATGGGGCCCCCTTTCAACGTGAAACTCCGGAACATCGTTCGACCCGATAAATTTATATAAATGAGCGAAAAACTGGCCGTCCCGGTCCAGCAGGTCACTTTAAACGTATCCCTTTGAAAATTACATAGGCGAGGCACAGGTTGTTGCACTAGATCGTGGCCAAACGGGCGTGAATCTCGAGTGTAAACGCGAAACTTGGCCGTTCGAAGCTAACAAACCAGAACCTTGTCACTTCGTTCATCGTTTATCAATTCGTCGAACGCATTAATTAAACAGAATTCGTAAAATGACGATAATCCTCGTTTAACGCGTCGTTTTCTTCCAACAAATTCTACACGGTTCGAATAAATCGATGAAACGTAAAGACCTCTATGCGTTATGTTATGTACAAATGTCAAAGACTTTAAAATATTGATTTCTCGCATGATATATTTTTAGGCTTGCATCGAAAGTTATTAATGAGGGTAAAAAGAATGTTCGTTTTTATCGAAACGCGCGACGATGCCACGGAAAAAGATTGTTATCGACCTAAGCATTCATGAACTGTGTGTGACAGCATCAGTGATCCCATCACATAGACCGGCCGTTTATATATAGCGACACGTGTTTCCTTTTTTAAGGTGTGCCGTAGGTATTCCATCGTGTAATTGGCACGTTACTCGATTCTCCCCCTCGTACAACGCTTCTCTTTCCCTCTCCCTTTTTTATTTCGAAATCATCGAATTCGAATCAGAATTAATCGATCCGCGTTCCTTTTACTTTTATCGCTAGCTCTGATCGCCCACTCTCCAAAGGATTTATTTACGATTAAACCATACGCGTGTAGTTAATGGACAGCGGAGATTATAATAATCTTAGATCTGCAGTCGGTTCGCGCGAATGCCTTCGTTGTATCTCGAACAGCGTTCCCTAAAAATACTGTGCACTATTTATATCGAAACGCTTTTTCGCTGTTCAAGAGGACCAGAAAAAGCGAAGGAAAAAAAAGTACTTGAAAATTCAGGCGAACATTGGCGAGGTGCAGTCACCGACTCTCGAATATTTTTAACCGCGATAACTATCACCGTGATCTTGATGCTGTCGCGAAATGAGAAATAGTTTGGCACCGATCGAAGAACTGCTCATTGTGAACGTATAATTAAAATGGCGATGTAGGGAAAGAAGGCCACGCCACTCCGCCTTCGGAAACTTGGAAATTTACAAATTTAGAACCTTATATCGAATGTTAGGATTTGGAAATTTCACAAAATTAACCAAATGTAGCCTACGTAGACCCGAGCGTGGCTATTATTCTTCTAGGCGTTCGAACAGAAGCTGTCGATGTACCTGTCGAATCGATGCTGTCACGGTACACGACACCTGTGTCGTTCCCCATTGGAAGAGAAGCGTCATCGGGTATCGCGTATCGTTCGAAATAACGTTGTTACAGTTGACCTCAAGGTCGGCAGCGTTACATGCCGCGATAACGAGAAAATCGTTCTGCTGTAGCCAGTGGGTCACGACCTCCTTCCTCTTTCAATTCTCCGGAGGTCGATAACCTCATTTCTGTGCGAGCGCGCCAATTTCATGACCTACCTTTCCCGCGAGCCTACACCACCCGTATACGCGTATCCCTCGCGTCTTCCTATCGAACTACTTTACCGAAAACCAATTTCCTCCGATTTGTGGTCTGTCAAATTTACTCGAGGAGCCAATTTCAGGTTACTCACGCTTGTCCTCCTGTTGCGGCTACCGAATCAACCTTAACCCTTTCAGTGTAGTTCTCTAGACGTAAACGCTTGTTAGAGAATACCGAAAGCGAGTATCTCCGTATTTCATCGTCAGGTTTACTCGTAATTTGCGTTATCGCGAACGAGAAATACTTTAAAGTACAAAGAAAAGTGCCTTCGACTTCTACACCAACGATGAATTCTTTTTTCCAGATCCTCCATTTACATTAACGTACATTCGATGGTTCCTCTGTTCCTAGAAATGGTACTCTCAGTGGTTCATACCTTTGCATGGATCCTACACTGTATCAAGGAATCCACAATTGCTCCTACCTTTCCACAGATCTTGCGCTACACTAACGTACGCTCGATGGCTCCATCTTCCCATGGATCCTATGCTGTAGTAAGGTATACCTACACTGATTCCTATCATTCACGAATCCTACACTGCGTCGAGCATTAATGGCTTGTACCTTCTCCTATACTACACTAAGGTATCTACAACGGCTCCCAGCTTTTCACGGATCTTACAGTACAATAAGAGCGCTTTTACGCGACGATGCACGTACGATGGATACATTAACATGGTGACAAATTTGTAATAATTATTGAGAACATACTAGGATCAGTATCTAAGTACTTTCTTGTCAGACACGTATATGGCCGTGTAGAAGCGCTCTAACACGTTGGTTGCCATGGTGGTTATCGGTAATTGGTGCTACGGATTCGACTGAATTATTTAAAGAAAAAAATAAAACATTAAATTAAAAGATGAAACTGAAAAATGAATCATCCATGTTGTTAATAATTTGTATTATAGCGTGTCTGACCACACACGTCACTTTTCACTGCGGCAGTCGACGTGTTAGGCTACCCACAATGGCTCTTGCTATTCCATGGATCGTAGTGTTGATCGGTAAATATGTATACTATCACCGTCGAACGACTGAGGACGGTTGCACGGTGGTGTCAAAGAGAAGACCCCACCCCTTGTAAACTCGCACACCTGTACACCGGTATCGTACATCGTTACGCTACCGTACAGAGGTATTTGTGCACGTTATCCGTATTAAACATTTATTTGATCGAAAATACGAGCGGCATGTAACGTTTACGAAAAGGAGAAAGATTTGCTCGAGAATACTTTTGAACGGTAGCGTATGCGTGCAGCTAGGTAAGTCTGTGCTTGCACGTACGATTGATGGCGAGCAGCGGTGGCAGTGACCCATGACCCGGATTGGAAACTGGGTGCCAGAGAGGCATACCCGGCGAGGCCGAGAGGGCGAGAGTTGGGGTTAGGATAGGACACCACCGAGGATCGATTTTCCCTCTTCGTGCGCTCTATCCACCCTAGACACCAGAGCCAGGGGGGGTCTTTCGAGAGAAAAGGGGGTGGAAAGAGGGACGATGGCAGGTTTAGAAGCAAAGGGACAAGGGAGAGAGAGAGAGAGATTTCTCCCCTTCCGTTGCCCTCAACGTTCTACCCTTTTCTCAGCAGCCACTTCCGCTCTTCATCGTGTACCTTATCGCACCACTTTCGATAGCATACTTCCGTTTTGAGATATCCTGTAACCTTCTTTCGACGGTGAAGATACGACGATCCGGGAATCTACAGGGTGTTTCAAAAGGGGTAGTTTAGTCCGTGCAAAGATGATTATGAAAATTTTCAAGTTGTTTTCGCGATGTAAAACGTTATTTAGGATAATGGAAGTACGGCATGTAATAATTATTGCTTTCGTTGCTTGTTTCAGTTTTCTAGATAAAGTAGCCATTGTTAAGCAACCGGATTACACCCCCACAGAACAGGTAATCGTTTATCTCAACTTTTGTGACCGAAATTACAATTTTTCGGAAGCTTGCATCGTTTTTATAATCAATATCCCTTGTTTTATTCATTTATTTATTGGAATTTGTTACAGGACATTCTCAGGTGTCGAGTGCTCACGTCCGGTATCTTCGAGACGCGGTTTCAAGTCGACAAAGTAAACTTTCAGTAAGTCCCGTCATCATCCGATAGCTTCTCGCTTTTGCTCCAGTGTCGCGTAACTATATATAGACGAACGTATTACAGTAACATCGGCCGACGGTAAATATAACGCGAAGCAGCGACTCGCATCTCTCATCCAGGCCTCTCTCTGCTGTATATTACACCTATATAGACCTGTGCACCGTGTACGTGCAGCGAAATCCGTTAACCGAGTTAACGCCTCCGCAACTTTTTATAATATATTTCCACCCTTTTTTCGCGTTACGCTACGTCGGGGTCGGTTGGGATCCCGTGTCGTTTCCGTATTTTTAGTCCTAACAGTTACTTAATGATTTTCTTCGAAAAAAGAAAATAAAATTACATCGTTCCTAACATAACTTATCGAGTTGGTCAAACACTTTTCTCGTTCTTCTAACGTTAATCATTTTTTTTAACGTAAATGGTGAATCGGTATCGATCAATGCCTTCGTACGATCATCATTGCACTTGCTCTTCGAGCGATAGACGGATCGAGTGGCTGCCGAAGAGCAAAAGAAAGCGTTAATGTCATCTGCCGATAAAGACGAGAAAACCTGTTAGCCAATCAAATATTTATCGTGTCACGTAACAACGCATGAAATCCCGTTGTTCGACACCCCGTCCATATTATAAATACGAACAATGATTTTTGTAGCATGTTCGACGTCGGTGGTCAACGAGACGAGAGGAGAAAATGGATACAATGTTTTAACGATGTGACGGCGATTATATTTGTAACAGCGTGTAGTAGTTACAACATGGTGCTCAGGGAGGATCCAACGAAACTGAGACTCCGAGAGAGTCTGGATCTGTTCAAGAGCATCTGGAACAATCGGTACGGATCACCGTCTTGTGATGTGTCCATGCGAATACTACGAGGATCGATTAAACATAAACGAGACTGTTTACAAGTTAATCTTCAAGTTATTCTCCTACGTAGTGTCCATTAACTCTCGCGTTATCCATATGCGGGTGACGTATGAATTCCCACAATAGTCCGTCACCCGTTTCATGAGAAACGACCTCATCCAATTATAAATAACCTTATCAAGCATATGCAACTATGTATAACGCATAGACGTATGTTTGTGGATTTAATAGAAACAAAATAACCTTTCAATATTTAACAATAGGAAACGTGATTAGCTGGCGAGAAATTTGGCGAATTTAGCACCGTAATGAAACTATTAATCACGTTTAAATGGCATACAACATCTCCTACGCTCTCCAGTAGAGGGAATCCTGTAGTAGATCCAGAACATCCGTTTCTCCCACTCTACGCAACTGCCCTTACTATTTCTTAATCGCTGATCGTAATTGATATTAAATATCGAAAAGTCTCATTTACAGTTGATCCATCCTCATAGTAATCGCTCATGAATCGACAGAGAAGTCGGTATACATTACCGTTGTTTCCTTTTAGGTGGCTCCGCACAATTTCCGTAATCTTATTTTTAAACAAACAGGATCTATTGGCGGAAAAGATAAAAGCAGGCAAGCACAAATTAGAGGACTATTTTCCAGATTTCGAGCGGTACAAGACACCTGTCGAGCAAGGGGTAGTTGCGGATCCCTCGGAACCGCCTGACGTTATAAGGGCCAAGTACTTCATTAGAGACGAATTCCTTGTAAGTGAATCGTCGTTCTTTCTTTTTCTATTTCGTTTCGTGTTACGATCGTACGGTGGAATCTCGCTATATGGCGTTGGATCAGACGGTACGGCTCGCTGACGATGCCACGATATCACGCGTGGCGGCACAATGCGTAGCGACTGATAGATTTATCCTTAACCGATAGGCATCCTTGTTCGCGCGCTACGAAGACGAGGGAGTCTAATTAACGTGCGCGATATAAAAGGAAGTCATATAGCGAGACTACACTATGCTTATAACGACACCCATATTTCTTTTTTTCTTCTTGTTTTGCAGCGTATAAGCACAGCGAGCGGCGACGGCAAGCACTATTGTTATCCGCACTTCACATGCGCCGTCGACACAGAGAACATCAAGAGAGTGTTTAACGATTGTCGGGACATCATTCAACGGATGCACTTGCGTCAGTACGAGCTGTTGTGACTTTGTTCCTGCCGACGTGTCGTCCTGTTCTCGTCTATTCGTATGAAGATCACTATGGTATCGCCGCGGCTCGAGCTAACGCGAGTCATCAAGCTTGTTGTCGTATGGTGGCCGTTCGAAATTTTTTATCGCGATGTACGACGATTTTGAGTTGCGTCGGAACTCTTCTTCGCGTGTCTGAGATTGTTGAGCATTCGGAGAAAGAACAAGAACATAACGCGTCGAAGGATCCTCCGTACGAGATACACCGTTTTGTGAATCGAACGACCGCGATGTCGATCGTTCTTCTTCGATGAAGATTCCAAGGAGAAACGTTGATACGCAGCGGTTGAGGGTTACCTAAAAGTCTCGTTCCGCGACAGAGGATATATTTTTTCTCGTTTCTTTTCTCCAGTTTCTTTTGCACAGAATAGCTTATTATTATCGTCATTGGTGTACAAGCAAAACAACAATTCCCCTCTTAGCGTTTAACGATTCTACACACCAAAACGTGCGTCTCGACGAAAGATATTTCAAATCTCTCGGGCATTTCTCGATCACTCGACTCCTTTTGTTTTTGTATTAGGTTTCGACGTACAGTGTGCTGAACGTGGGAATACAGCATTCGTTGCTAATGGAAACACGTGCAATTTCAAACCAATTACCTCGTTAATTTTTATTCTAATTACGCATCAATTCGTTGATAAGCAGAGCGTATGAACGTTCGTTGTCCGACGTCGATGTGTTCACCAAGTGGATATCCACGGCGATCGTGCGGAAACGGCTCTTTAGTTTCGTCCGGCACACTCGTCGCGTTCATTGTGTATCGTTCAGATTTAGTAATAAGAAACGTTTCCTAAGACTTAGGTAATTGTCTCCGATAAAAAAGTCCTTATCGTCGATAACGTTTTCTTTTACTCGTTTCTCGAATCTCTATCTTTTTTCCCTCACCCCACCCTCTCACCCCCCCTTTATCGAACGATCTTCTTGCATTAAAAAAAAAAACAATGAATTAATTTTTTCCAACCTTCCGAATCAATCTCCACTTTAAATCGCATTGGCCCGATCCGTAGGAGTCTTTCAGCCGCATCTTTTTACAAGAAGAGTATTTTGTGAGATTTTACAGTATTTCGACGAGCGTTTTAATTGTATAACTATGTATCAAATATGTACAGGGTGACCGTCCAAGGATTCATGTTTTTTATGTACGTTTCCTATCGAATATCGAGATTCCTCCACCCGATATCGTTTCTACTGATTTCCATTGAGACTACTTTTAATTCTCGTGTACTTAGGGCACGTGTTCTCGTCGTAGCTAGTGTCTCTACGTGTTGAATCCTAATAACAACAATCCGCAAGGAAGGATGTTGACGCCATGTTTGGAATCAAAGCAAAAAGAGTTCATTTTACACTTACACTCTATTTGACTAGCGGTTAGGCCCCGACATTTACAATCGAACTGTCGTCGATGTAACGTTACAACCATAACAGAGGTTATAATATGTTGCTTATTCGTTCGACTATCATTACACAAAGTCCTGGATCACGTTTTCGAGTAGAACACGCTTCATGGTCCTGAACGTTTATACGAATTACTTGTACGAAGTGTTGAAAAAGTGATAATCATTAATTACAGAAGTGATTCTCTACCTCGAGTGATAAAATTGTCAACTAAGTCAATCGATTTATTTTTTATTAGGATTTCACAAATGAAACGTAAGATCTTTACATCTAGTTCCAAATTGTGTGCAATTATAGATGAACGTAATAATGCAGTAAACTTATATTATGCACTTTTTCGAAACGAAGAAACCATAATTTATTATTAGCGTGTAATGAAAATTAATAAGAAACTTCGAATGCTAACTTCTTCGGAGGAGAATCACCTCTGTAAACCTCGACGTTACTTTCTCAATGACATTAAGATCTGAATTATTCGATAATCGGTTGTCATCGGTACTCCTTTAGGATAAATATCCTGAACCAACATGCGATGTTGCGAATTTCTTATCTCACGTATCTTTACTATTTGGACACCCTGTATATGATAAGTATCCTATTAATTTTTCTCGAATCTTAACTGTATATCTTTGTTCACGTTTTCTTTTAATTTCATACTGGATCCAGCGGGCGAGATGTTTCTTATGCGCGTGTACAAATTGTTTCGAACATATGGTACATGAATTAGAATTCTCATTATATATTCGCAAACAAATTAATACGCGAGATTAAAGAAAAGGAAAACACAACTGTAACGACAGTCACTGGTGCAGGCATACCTCTCTCGTATTCGCTGGATCGAGTGCCAGTTACCGATCAGTGTAACGTCTACTTTTAATTAATAGATAACGAGAGTTTAACATGAAATTAAACCGAGTAAAATAAGGAAATACGAATTAAGCCACGTTCCGAGAAGGTTTTATGTAACATGACGTAAATATATTGGGGCATCCGGTCTTACTATCCTTATTATCGTCTTGTTCCCAACTCGAGCACGTTCGCTTTTTTTTCTTTTTATAATGAAAATTATTTATTTATTACGCAATATGTACAGAAAAGTGTACGTCTAAAACGTCATCTATTTTATTCTTTTTATATGTTTTTTCAAAGATCTGTATCAAGGTGCCATACGATAGAACTCTATCTATTTAAATGTTCGAACTGCAATGATCATAGTTGAAGAAGTTTGACTATTTATTTTTAAAGCGTTCGTCTAACTAGAATGATCATAGTCGGCAATAAGTTCACTCAGCCCCTTGCCCTATAATATAAGGTCACGCCTGTAACAACTTGCAGTGTAAATATGGCAAATCTCGATCATATTTGTGTTAAAGTTAAATTCTAACTATAGTTGAAATTACAATTTATCTTAATTCTTAACTACTATGGTAAGTATGCGTCTCGATAGTCTTACGACTTGCCTATTACATACGTTGACAGTATTTATTTACATGATTCCCGTCAGAATGTTCTGCTAAGCGTTTCTTCGGTTGTTCAGTGTTCCCATTTCACCGTAGCAGTTAAGGATTAACATTATAGCGAATAGATCTAACATGATGTCATTGCTAAGAAGATGATGAGGCAAGGGGTTACATTATCCAAGTATTCGATAAAATATTGTTCGGATAAATAGAGTTCTACTTGTACCTCTTTCATAGTCATCTTTAAAAGTTATATACAGTTAGCATGGGTCATTTTGTATTTCACTTCTTTCAATGATGTTCCCAGTCTGATCGTAATTAAACAGATGTGACTATTGAAACGATGAGGATAGAAATTCCGGACATTGCATAACGATTACTCCGTAAATGCTAACGAGCCCACATCTCCCCTTCTCCTGTTCCTTCTCCACGATCGTAAATGTACTCTCGTATAACCGATATCAATGTATGGGCCCGTTATGAGCATACCACACACACACACACATACACCCACACACACTTATACACACGCACGCATATACACGTTACACGTATATACATATACACACACATACACATATATATGTATGTATACCTGTCGTACTAATATACATAACTGACAAGCCATAGTTTGTAAAACGGTATTTATAAACTTTACGAAGTGTTATTTTTACTGTGAAACCGATGACAGAGATTGAGAGAGTGCAATGGATGCGAGAGAAAGCGAGTCTGTTCTCTGCGAGTATATTGTTACCTATGTCGATCAACAAAACTTCCGTGAAACTTTGAATGTTCACTACCCCTAGCACAAAAAAAAACGCGAATCATCGTTATCGTGTGTATTTGCAAGCCGTATGAATGTAACTGGTATTGTTACGAGTATTCTTATACTACTACTACTATTACTACTACTACTACCACTACCATCATTTTTCTTTCTTGGTTTCGTTTCGTCTATTCAGACAGAGAAACGCGATCGTTCTGGTCTCGAGCGACGTTGGATGTAACAGAAAAGTGAAGGATCTAGCCGAGAGTGCATTGACGCAACCAGATAGGAACTTATGCTACGGGATACTTCGTATTGGAAATTGCAAAATTTCCCAATTCTCTAATTCTCAAAGTTTTAAATATCAGAATTCCAAAATTATTAAATCTACAGTTCTGGCTCACTCCGAACAAAAGTCCTAATTTCTAACAAATGTGTGCGATGTTGTGGTGGAAACGACCGAAGTTGTAAGCGATGAATCGTAATCGGTAGTAATATTCTTTTGCTAAAAATTCATTGTTTACCAAGAAAACAATGGTATAGCAACGCTTTTCAATGTGTACGCAACATCGTCCTCCTCGAATCAGCACATCAGTTATCGGTGTACGAAAGGCTTCCTCGAGGAAAATGTGTACGCAGGGGAATAAGATCTATTGGCACATTTACCTGAGAAAATTTTATTCCTTGTCGAATACGAGTGTCTAATGTAAAGTAAACGTAGTCTGTGGTAATTGTCAAGTATTGTAGGTTCTTCTTCCCCTACGTCGTCATTTTTATTAGCGAAGACTACCGTGCTTGGCACAGTACAGCTTCGTACAATGATGCCTTTCATTGGTAGACGGAAACGTGTGGTTTGGCTGGTTTCATTCGTCACTAGTTTGGCTCACTCGGCAAAATGTAGGCACTTAGAGCCTAATTTACAGTGATAGAGTATACTAGCATTGATAAGGAAAGTTCAGTTACTATCGTTGGGTAAAAAGTTGGTAGAGCGTTGATTACTAAAGCTGATCGTTGGTAGGGTAGAATGGGATAGTGCTATGGTAAAGTAATTCTACTACTAGCCATCTTCCATCATTCCAATATACTAATGCTGTTATACTTTTACTACCTACTCTACTAATGTAATCTAGGGTTAAAAATAGTCATTGTAGAATACAATGGAATAACGCCATGGTAAAATAATTCTGTCACTAGTATACTCGACTATTTGCTCTAAGAGTCAGACGAGTGATGGGAGAGCTTCCTTTACAAATTTTCTACCGAAGCAACGCATCATTGTACGCGATTGTACTCGCAACTTAAGTCGTGAATTAGAGTTGTTGGTTCGGAAAGCTACTCGTAAAATGATTGCCTCTGTTTAACATGCAGTGCAATAACACGCGAAAAAAGAAAGAAACAACTAAACAAACATTTGCTATTATTACCTGTGTTGAATGTAAAAGAAAATTCGTGAGTGTAATTATAATCGATTGTTGTGTGTGTGCGCGCGTATGCGATCGAAAGAAACAAATGGATAACCGAATTAAATAACCATTTTACGTGGCCACGATTATACCGATATACATATACATACATTATATACATATATAAATATATATATACATATTGTATACATACGCCGATCGCACAAGTTTTTTTCTTTTTATTGTACGTACAATGTGTACCAGGCATGTGAATATGTACATGTAAAAACTAAAGCGGTGCAAGTAATTATTATTTGTAAATACTACAATGGCAGATTTGTGTGAACATATGAGGCAAATGACGACGTATCGATAGATTATTGGAGTCGAATATTATATTTATTTGTAACCAGGCCGATGGCTTCTCTTCGAAACAGAAGTTGTCGGGGAAAGGGACCTTTCATCGCATGTTCGAACTACTACGTTAAATTACACAGGCACTTCTAGTGATACTAATGCTAGTAAAAAACTTTATTTACTCGAGAAAATAATTGGACAGGTGACTGATGGAGCACAACAGCCTAGTTTATATCGATAAAGTATACTAATGCTACTACACTCATCTAACAAACGGTATCTAATGGTAGAACTACTTTATTATAATAGTATGCTGCTCTACCAAAGACTTGGTTTAGATCTACTCTACATAAGTAGAATATACTAGCGCTAATAGGAAAAGTCCGTTTACTAGAATACTAAAGCTAGTCATTGGTGGAATAACACCGTGGTAAAGTAACTTCGCCATTAATTTTCTCCCAATACTCTAAACGATCTAGCGCTAATATGCTCTATCAATATGAACTAGGCTCTAATTACTAAGCAGCATCAAACTATCATGAACCACGAGCGATCCAATATCTCGTAGACGAGCGATGGATGGTCCCATCCCCTTACACGTTCCTTTATCGAAGGAAACCATCGGTGCTCGTAGATATACATCTATTAATACGGATCGCGCGTACGCGGTAAGATCGAACAGTTTACGTCTTCGATCTCGTCGATCGCGAACGACGATACGTTTGCATTTAAAGATCCCTCGATAATCGTCTCGACCATTTAGCTACTGTGTGTAACGTACGAAACTTATTTTCATTTCATTCGAATTCGAGCGACTCGTTGGTAATTTACAAAAGAACGATCATCCTCGTTTCTTTGCGATTACGCTTGTACGACGCGAATGGAAGTAGTCGACTTGCACGTCGTCCACGAAGTACAAACTATTGCGTATCGTGAAAATTCTTTGTGGACCACGTTGCTGTGTATGGGAAGTAGAGAGAGAGTATTGCCTTAAGAAGCGAAAGTCAAAGTAGACCGGACGTGATCTGAATCGTCGTGACGAAATGTAAAACGCTGCTGATGATTATCAGTGATTAAGAGTTCTGATCAAGTAGGAAATACGATTCTTCTGTCGTTGAATTTCATAATCATTTCGCGATCGGAGCAGATCGCTTTCCGACGATTCGAGGTATCGGGAAGGAACGATATAGAAGAGTGGAAATGAAAATGTTATAATAAATGTGTACAACTACTAGCCAATGTATACATTTAAAGAAGATTTTAGTAAAAGTATCGAATAAATATAACATTATTTACTATTCCTAGTAAATGTATTCATTTACAAAACGATGTATACATCGACCAGTAAATGTACATACTTATTATGAAAAATAAATCTCGATTCGTTACGCGTTTCCGACGAAAAGCCACGAAACGTCTGCTATTAGATAAATAACGTTCGCGTTTATGTTAAGAATACAGAGTCATTTATTGTGATCGTCTTATCGTTACACTGTTATTCGATATAAAAAAGAATTGTCTTTACACGGTCAGATTTTATTGAAACGGACAATGTAGTTATATTATTATTACTGTCGTCATTATTATCGTCATCGTTGTCATCATCATCATCATCATCATCATCACCATCACTATTACCATTCTCATACTCATTGTCATTACTGTCGTTATTATGAACCTGTTAACCGAGTCATTTTTCAAGCAGAAAGGAGTCACTTCTCCTTCTCAAATGTGTAATAAGAAGCGAATAAAGTAGAATCGATTTATCTTCTACTCGATACACGTATTTTTCTTCGTAATTAATGTATCATGACGCAATCAAACGTAACAATTTGCGTATCTTGTTCGCTCGAATGACGAGTTAATACGTTCTCTGGGTCATTTCAATTAACCCTCGAATGGCACAGGGTTAATCACGACTCAGACGTATACAACGGTGCATTGACGAAAATTAGTCTCTGAAACCCGTTCAATCGATAATTCGAATCGAATAATATATTTTTAACGTATATACGACATTTCCTATTACGCTCGAGCATCCTCTTTGAAGACGATTAAGCACACTCTCCGTTACCGACGATTCGAAAGCATTTGTACAGATACGTTCGTGCGTCCACTGCGAGGAATCATTCTCCGAAAGCGTATACGTGGTTTCAAAGTTTCACGCGAAACAGAGCGCGTTAACACGTCATCCTCGGTTGACAGGTTAAACGTTGTCATTATTATTGTGATCAGCGATTACTTCTGTAATCATTGTTAAAAGAGAAAAGCTATTTCCAGGGAGAAGAAATTCTGTGCAATTTAGATCGATGTAATTTATTTAAACGACTATTATTGAATCGATGAATCAGTGAACAGGATCAATTGATATCACGATTAACGTTCTAATAAATGTCGATGCGTTTTTCGTACGCATACGTAGACGCTCAGGTGCGTATTTTTTATTTCTTAGCGAATTAATTCCATGACCAAAGGGAAACGCGTCGTTGATCAATTTTACAGGAAATTGTCGTTTACGAGACATCTTTTCGCTGTGCGATATCCTCGATGGTAAACCAGTCTGTTTCTCTCGAAAGACACAAACGCGTTGCGTTCGTGATTAACGAGCCTTTAATTGAACGATCGCGTAAACGTGTACGATCCTACCGAAGATAAAATGTAAAAGAAACATAGTATCAGGTTGTTGCGTGTCAAATGAGTCTGACACGATTTCGCGACAGAAAATCATCGTAAAATACCACTTGTGCAACATCAATTTAAAGCTTAACGATCGAAGTGAATAACTGTATACACGCCTCATTAATATTCTCGATACAAAACGGTTAATTGTCTATTGTAGCGAATCATGGATCAAAGTGAAATTTTTGTACTGCCCCTTGACAGGTTTTAATTAGAATGTTCTGCACTGAAAGCTAATTCTAATTAATACGATATTTTGTGGATAAATCAGCCATTTCATCTGCAACAATCTAATATATCCATCTCATGATGCATCGAATTACTTTTACGAGCCTTTTCGAGTTTACGAATAGGTAACGGAAAAAAGAATTATCTTCTATCTGATAACATCTACAACCGTTGTGTATCATGGTTCCCGATTGTGGATCGTGCCTTTCTATAACTTGTCAACAAACCACGTTTTGTTCGTTCCTCGCGATTGATTAAAACACTCAAGAAAATCAGGATTACTTCAACTCATAGAGAAACTAAAAATTGTAGCAAATAGCGAGAGTGATCTTACGTTGACGAAACGCCTGATTCACGATAATTTCTTATTTGGTTCCATCGAACGACTGCCTCAATGTAAGACCACTTACTTTTCCTGTCGAATTAGATGAAATATGATAGAACAAGAGAAAGAAGCTACTTGTGCCTCGAGCGCCTCAAACTGTCCTATTCTTTAAGTACATAAAAATAGAGGGAAAGAAGAGGAGCTAAACATGGGCTCTTGCCACACGTATTCTATTCGAAGTAATTTCTATGTAAATATACATATGTGTGCGGTGATCGATCGTTGATCCATGATTATCCCGAATCGAACGTTTCTTTTTTCTAGTCTTCGGATCTTGTTCGCTAGGATCGAGAAGAAACTTCCGAGAACGAGAGAAGCTGATGCACAGGCCTGTCTAAATCAGCTGGTAAATCAATAACCGTGGATACGAATCTGTAAATTTAGCAATTCGGGGACGTGGCAAATTTTTAAGTTCCGAAAACTGAGGATCAAAGGAAAGCTATAAAATGAATGGGACGATTCGTGAGGGAGCCCTGTGCTGGACAGGTTGTCAGAACGGAAACGATGACGAACGTTCGTTGCATGATAATTTCCAGGTTTGGAAATCGACGAATGTATTTTAATAGCGAAGAAGTTGATTGATCCTAGCGACGAAAAGAAGAACGACGAGAGGATCACTTGATTGTTCGTGAATATGTATCCACGCGATAGAGAAAATGAAATTAAAAAGTGAGAGAGAAAGAAAGAGTTAGCGGAGCTCGTCGATAAGTAATGTCCCTCCAGATCCATCGTCATTACCCCTCTCTCTATACATCCGTGTTTTTCTCCCTTAATTCTTAAAAGAATTCGTTGTTGCGTGTCTTTCTTGTTAGAAGTAACGTTTAGCCGAAGACTTAAACAGACGTAAAAATGATAAGGAATCGTTGAACAATTGTAACATTCGATATTGCGCTGATTATACAAGCGAATGCGTGAAACAAATAAAAATGAAACTATACACGATGTAAATGAATAAATAAGAAAAGAAGAAAAATTCGTTAGGAAAATTGAAAATTGAATGTTGTCCACCCCATGATTTGTCGAATGATCCCGCGTGTTTTTACGCGAGAGATTCTTTTCTTTTTTTAAGCATTCATGATCAAACTGCACAATTTAAGACGAAACAAACAAACACGAACACGCGTACATATACATACATATACACACATTATTGCGTACAATGCAATCAAACGAAAAAAAAAAAATTAATGGTTACTATATGAAATACGCGAAGGGGTATTGATCACCTGGGTCGTTTAGTTGTCCAAGCTATTTAAGTAAAAATCGTGGGGTGGACGTGTAGTATATACGATAAACTGATATACATGTAAGTACGTAAATAAATATATACGTTATACAGGTTGACTCAAAAGAAGATATACGCCATGAAAATTGTAAAAACTATCGCGAAAGAGGGAATCGATAAGTTCTTTACCGTTCTGTAATAGGAACTTTCGTTCACGAGGTAAACGATCTAACATTAGATGCTCCACTTCCGGGGTGTTCTGTTTAAATTTTAAGACTTCGCAACTGTTCGCGTGGTAAAGGTTTTTCCGATTTCTGTCCTCGTAAATAATTTTCAATTTCCACGATGTGTATCTTTTTTAAAAGACACTCTGTATATATTATATGAATATAATTCACCGAGTTAACGCGATGGAGTGAAATTTTCTGAGCGTGTGTGAACGAGCGTGCCGTTGAGAAAGAGAGAATGATACGAGCGACTGTAAATGTGTTTTTAGATTACAAGAAACAGAAAAAGATATTTCATTCTCATTCTGTGATGATTGTCCGAAGGAAATGTTTTCATGAATCTATGCTGATTAATCAATTAAATTAGCGTGTAAATGATTCGACTGTACGTTGTATCAACTGCGTCAATGAAATGAAAAACAACTTGAAAGCATGGGAATAAAATTCATTCATAAACGCGTGAATCAATCGTGCACACTGTTTGATAGGGAGATCGAAAGAGAACACATGTATGCTGTACCCGAATACAAAAAAGCAAACAGTATGATTTGTATACTGTGTAACTTTAGTCGTTTACCATTGATTTCGAGAAATGTGTATAAAATTATTATGTGTAATTAAACAGAAGTCATTTAGTAAATTCTAAGAGTACGATGATATATGATTATACTATTCGAACAAAAAAATAACTAAAATCGTACGTGTGACCCTCGTGCACACGTATTACATGAATCACAAAGAATATTGCGAAGGTTAACAAAAACCAAACACTGCAAAGTCACTGTATTATACATTTGTGTAACTAAAATAGCGATGGTACAATTATGAAAATTATAAAGAATACAATAAACACTTACCGTATGTCTTATATACACATATAAAATTGTATTACGCGAATTAATTTGTTTTAACTTTTTTTTTTCTTAAATGAGTCAACCAAAAACATTTCAGTATGAATTAATTTGTAAAAAATACTCCTTTTTACGTGTGAATCGAAACTTTATATTAGTTGTAACAAATTCATATATTACATTCGAAGATTATAATACACCGTATTCGTGGATGTAAAGTAATTAGAACACTATAAGTAACATACTAAAATTCCATACTTGAAAATTAAATAATTTGCATAATATTATAGCAGATACGTGTCAATTTGAAAGGATTTTAGTTCACTTTAGCCATGTGCCTTTTTAAATATAATAGTTGTGCTTTTGATTCTAAAGCAGATAATCCAGCTACGTAAGGTGACATTTGTTCAACATGATTTTTATAATTTGAACCTGAAAATTAATAAGTATTAATATATATAGTCTGCTCGAACATGATAGGTAATTCGTTAAGTATTCTTTTCCTGCGTACCCATATTTGTTTTTCTTTCACCGTACACAACTTTCCCGTCAAAATCATTCATCGGAACTTTCATATCCGATTCAACTTGTTGGATTGTGATATTTAGATGATCCTCAATTTCAGCTAAATACTATTGCAAAGAAATTGAACCTTTAATTATAAAGCAATAAAGGGAAACCGTATTGAAACTTACATTTGGTTCATTGTACCATATACAACAACCACCTCTGTCGGTGAGATTGGTGTTGTGGCAGTTTCTTCCGCGAGAAGGACACCACTCACCGTGGTACCATACTTTCTCTGGTACTTTGCTGACTAATGAAATAGCCAAACCCATTCGTTCGGCTCTACCAACTCTTCCTATACGATGTACGTAATTCGATTTTTCATCGGGTAAAGTTATATTAATCACTAGAAAAAAGTTGCAAGATTAAATGGATAAAATCACGTACATAAATATTAGTTTAAAATACATACTGAAAGGTAATCCTGAAATATCTAGACCTCTAGCTGCAACGTCGGTACAGATCAAGAATTTGACTTCTTGTCTTTTAAACTTCTCCAAATTAGATTTACGTTCAGGAGGTTTTCTATCTCCGTGTAAGCATACGCAGGAAAATTGATTTCCGCCAACTTGTTTCAAATAACGTTCTAAATTATCACAGTCCAACTTGGTTCTACAAAAAATGATAGCTCTATCCATGTTGTGTTCTTTGATGGCACGTATACAGTATTCCCCTTTTAGTATTTTCACAGCCTCTGATAGCGTCTCTACAAAATTTTTAATTATATAATACTTTGCAGAACTATGTGTATTGACTTGAAACTTACCAGGATCATTGCTTCCAGGTCTTACATTATCTCGTTGATGTATAGTATCCGTTTCTATGTGTCTTCGTAAATTATACCAAGATTTATCTTTCTGCGGATCTACCATTACAACAACATGATGCACAGTTTCTGGTACAGCATCTTCACCTTTTAAGTCTACCCATGTTGGAAAATGCATCAAACGATCCTATACAAAGACTTGCTATATGCTTTTCTATACAATATACAAGAATATAAATTGTTGTTACAGATACTTACTGCCATCTTTTTGACTTCGAAAGAATGCAACGTTGCCGAACACACGATCATTTGTAATCGTTTTCCATCAGACGTAATTTTTGGTATTTGTTTATGTAAACGGTCGATCAGTTCGGTATATCCTTGTTTCAGTAAACCATCAGCTTCATCCAAAATAAAGAATCTGAAAATATTGTATGAAGATATTGTACTAGAACTATAATTACTTGCATGAAATCAGAATGCACCAAGTCTTATAATACCTGCAATGTGTTAAGGATAAGTAGCCTCCCTGTATTAGATCTTCTAAGCGTCCAGGTGTTCCAACCACTATGTCCACACCAGAATTTAGTACAGAAATCTGTTCTTTTACACTAACTCCTCCAATAACTAATAACTCTTTAATGGTAGGATCTGATAGGTGTTTTTTGAACTAAATAAGAACATAATTTAGTCATAATTTTTAAAGTGAACTGCTAGAATGAGTTATAATTATTAATAACTTACTTTCTGAATTTGATTGTATGTTTGTTCAGCAAGTTCTCGTGATGGTTCTATGATTATAGCTTGGGGAGCATTACATTTTGGTTTGCTATCTTCTTTGCTTTGAGACTGGCTACTATTTACAGAATTCTCCCTTACGCATTCTTTAGGGGCAGAAGCAACAGGTATGTAGTCATTTGGAGGTGGGTATTTAAATGGTTGTGCTCCAAAATTGAAGGACATTTCAGCATTTTTTAGCACAACAGCTGGGAAATAGATTTGTGACTTTTGTTGAGCATTCAAAGTGAATGCTGCACCAAGATCTACACCATTCTTTGAAAATTTGATTTCACCCTTAGATAAATCCAAATAACATCCAATTACATCATGCATTCCAAAAGCTTCTCCATAATTGTCAAACTGTTTTGCATTTGACTTTTTACCAGTACCACCAAAACCAAACCCAAATTTATCTGTTCCCAAATCCAATGAAGCCTGTTAAACATGATTAATACAATTTTCCACTAGATTATTTAAAAATTATTAGTAGAAATTTAAGATAGTTACTTGAGCCGTAGACCAGCCTACACGGCATAAACCTTCATCGGTTACTGTAGCCTCAAAGAAAAATTTTTCTTTTCCTTGTACACCTCTGTTGGCTCTACAACCGTGCCATTCTTTCTGCTCACGACTTTGGCATCTTAAACCATCTGGAGTAACAGCTAAAGCTCTGCCTCTATCAAATAAACTCAGTGCCCAATGCGTAGCTGTAAATCATTACAGTAATTGTACATTTAAGTATACAAAATATTATTCATTTATGCACATATAAACAAATGGTATACAATGCTGATGTCCTGCAGAACCAGACGTTTTACTACTAGATGTTTTGCCAGTTTCTATATCTTTTAGAGTTTCCCATACAATTTGGATAACTGGCAAACAGAAAGCACCAGTTTTTCCACTACCAGTCTCTGCAGCCATCAATACATCTCCACCACCCAAAATTAGTGGAATAGCTTCAGCTTGGACATCGGTTGGTAATCTATAACAAGATATGCAAATAACATCTTGTTTATGATATTTCCTTTATATTTGTGTAATACAACTTTATACAACTTACGTCCACTCCATTTCATCAACTGCCTTTGCAATTTCAGGCAAAACGCCCATTTCTAACACAAAATATAATTAATGTACAAAACGTTTTGACAACCTTACTAATAGTATCTTTAATCATATTTCTATTTATACGATTGTTGTACCCAAAATTGAGCTAATAAATAGTACTTACCCTCAAATGCCGTCATAGTTACAATTTAATTAATATTCTTTCTATAATAACTATGTAAAGACAAAAGCTAGAATCGTTCGCCGGCTTTTGCTCTCAGTACGAATTACATCTGCACAATCTGCACCATCTGATGCAAGTGTCACCTATAGTCTATGTAGTATGAACTACGTTATACGTAATATAGATAATATACCTTTACGTTAAGGAAAAGAGAGGAATTTACGCTTCGATATAATAGATATATTTAATCACGTCTTGTTTTTAACATTTTAATTTTTATCGTTTCATTGGAAATTATACCATATTCTTTTCGAACTTGTCCTAAAATCTTACTACACATGCGCAGCATGTTACTATTCTACAGTATTTATGTATATATATATATTGTATAGTTGTTGTAAGTGAGAAGTATGTAAAATGAAGCTTTTTTTGCCTTAATTAAGTTTATTTATAAATAACTTCTTCGTACATGACTTGGAAGAGTACAAAAAGTACTGTAGAAATGAGGTTAAACAGTATTCATTGCCCACTGAAAAGATAGCACAATAGAAATGACCCCAAAAAGGAAGGTATGTATAGGTTATATGTTCATTATAAATCATTTAGCTTATAAACAAGTAGATATGAATGAATGAGTGTAATACAATGCTTAATTGACAGACTACCAGCTCAGAATCTACTTCAACCACCAGTTCTGGTTCTTCGTCAAGTAGTTCATCAAGTTCAGGCAGTGAATCTAGTTCATCCGATTCAGAAAATTCCAGTAGTTCTGCCAACAGCCAAAAAGCATCCGATGCAGAGAGGACAAAGAAGAAGACATCCTTCTCAGTTAATCGACATGGCAAATCTAAATCCGATGCAGCTTCTATACCGTCTACAGAAAATAAAAACAAAGAGAGGGTACCACCAAAGAATAGACCCGTGGTATATTCCTCAGAGTCTGAAGGATCACCAAGCAAAGTAAAGTCTGCTAAACGAAAACCACCAGCTAAACCTAAAGCAACTGCCACGGTAGCACCTGTTGTTAAACAACAAAGACCTCCTGTGAAAACTGTAGCTAGTGCTGGCCAACAGAAAAATGTACCTAATACAAAACCAGTTGGTAACAAGCCAAACAAACCTTCTAGTAAGAATATGTTTATTTAAAATTCTTTCATTCTATATAATATCAGTTTTTCTTATATTTATACTTATAATATATTTTTGGATAATAGCCTCCAACAATGCTAATGGGAAAGCTGTTGACAAATCCGCAAAAACAACATCAGAACCTGTACAAAAGAAGTTAAAAAAGAAAAGTATATTTAGTCCTGAAAATAGTAGTGAAAGCGATAGTGGTGTTCCACCTAAAGTTAACACAGCAAAACCAGCAAATAACTCAGCAAAATATGCAAAAACTCAGCAACCCAAACCAAAACCAAATAGAGCTAGTACGTATCTGTTATATATTTAAAATAATTTTTAATTATTGAAACTAATGATGTTCTGATTTAGGTTTAATAACGAAAACGGCCCAAGCGCGTAAATCAGATAGTTCTGCAAGTTCAAAGAGCTGTTCCGGTGGATCAGGTTCCTCTGCCTCGACAGACAGTAGCACAGATTCCGAATCATCCGAGAGCGTAGCTAGCCCGCAACCTACAACGAAAAAGAAAGAACCCCAGCCAAGTACAGCAATAAACGTTTCCTCGAATATTCCACCGAAACGGCCTTCCGCAACAGTTGCACCTGTTAAACCACAAAAATGTACAAAACGACAAAGTAATTCTATCAAGTGTTTTAACTTCGGTTACAACTTATGGAATTTCAAAATCATTTTTGAATCATTCATTTTAATTCAGGTACAGTAAAAAGCGAAGATGAAGCCGACGCATCTGCCAGTGAAAAAGAAATGGACGAGCATGGAGAAACGAACACGACGAAAACATTGAATAAAGGCAAGCGGAAATTACAAACACGAAAAGGAAGCAAATTAATTCAGCTTCAAGCGAAGGCAGCCAGTGACTCGGAATCCGATACAGGTACGAATCTACTGTAGTAATAAGTACATCATAGAATGCTACATTTTACTACTAATCCCTCTAATATTACTGCAATTCCTCTCCCATCCTTTGTATTAAGTTTCTGTTTGAAGTGTGTGGTAGTTTGTAAAAGATTTGCATTTAACATTTTGATCAGCAGTCGAGTTTTGTGTTTGTATAAAAGTATGATTTTATATTTGTCTGAGTCTTCTCCTTTTATATTTTATTTCGTATTATGTTATGCGAGAAGTTAGACTGACCAGTTAAGTTCTGTTTTCTTTCGATAAGTTTGATCCCTCCTGTCGACCTTTACAATTACAATTTCTCGTTCAGTCCCGATCCATAGATATAAAATTGTCAATGTAGTACCACCGTTTTCTGGTAGCAAACGTGTCATTAGCTCGTTAATTGATCAGATAAAAGTCGAAGTAGCATGAATGTTTGAAACGAGGCGGGTAGAGAATTTCCTTTAGGCGGTGGATTTAGGACTCTATGCTGCCTCCTTAACACAAAAAAGCAGTATTTGCGGTTCTGGATGGATGGATTGGACATATGTATATGGCCCGTAGGAATCCACTGGTCGATGGGACAAACGTATTTCGTATACAAAAAAAAACAAAGCATGTCCAAGGTGTCCTAAGATGCAGATACAGTCTTTTTGCTTACGGCGGCAGTATGGTTCTCAGGTACGGAAACGGTAGCGTGTAAACGTATCCTGCAAATTCCGCTGATCCGGTGTGATTTATCGAGAGTAGCTGAAAGCAAGAGGAGTACGAGCAAATCACCGGTTAAACGTGCTGGGCCTAGTACCGCTGCCAGACACTCGTCCGGACCAAATAGAGTAGCACAAAACAGTGGTACTTCGAGTACCACTAGTGGAAGATCTGGACAAGGAAATTATGGTCGTTCGCGTGCGACCAAGGAAAGAGAATGCCCTCTAGCACCAACTTGCGATTCTAGGGGTCATCTCTCTGGAAAACTTGACTCGCACTTCACCTTGGAGGCATGCCCTTTATATCACAATACCACGCCGCAAGCTTGCGTGTAAGTAACCGCTTTACTTTACGATAGTAGTTATGTTCTTCAGGAACGTTCAAACATTTCTGGCTTTACAGAGAGTTTTATAAAGAAAGGAAGAAACGAGAAGAGGAAAGGAAAAAAGCGATATCATGTTTAGCCAAAAAGTCTCCGAAAGGAATGCATCAAACAACGGAACAAAGAAACTATCAGCTGAAAATGAGAGAAATGAGGAATAAGTGGAAAGGAGGCACTGGCGATGGAAACGAAAGCGATAGTAGTAGCGAAGTTCAAGGAAACGAGAAAGATCGTCAACCTCGTTTAACGAATTTAACTCCGGAATACGACTTAAAATTGTTTATGGAGGCACAAGCGATAGCTAGTGAAAAGATTGTAAGTTTCGGTATATGGCCCGGACACCATACGTTATAGAATGTTCCATACTGCGAGGCTGGACTACACTCGATATTACGTCAATTACATAACGTTGTTTCCTATAGGAAAAGGAGTTAAAGGAATTGGACTACGACGGCGAAGGTAGAAACAGCGGCGGAACACGAGTTATCGAAATGGGAAAATGGGAAATGGAAGTGTGGTACCAGAGTCCGTATCCTGAAGAATTCAGTCGCGCTCCGAAACTTTATCTATGCGAATACTGCTTACGATATGCAAAAAGTCGTCAGGTTTTAAGGCGACACCGAGAGAAATGTTTGTGGAGACATCCTCCTGGGCACGAAGTATACAGGTTGGTAAACGAGTGTGAAATTTTATAGCGATTAAATTATAAACGAATACGTTTTTGTTCGGACAGGAAGGACAAGATAGGCGTATGGGAAGTGGACGGAAAACGTTACAAGCAATACTGTCAGAATCTGTGTCTGTTAGCGAAGTTCTTCTTGGACCACAAAACGTTGTATTACGACGTCGAGCCTTTCCTTTTTTACGTGATGACAATCGGCGACTCCGAAGGTTGCCATACCGTCGGTTACTTCAGCAAGGTAAGTCTTTTGTTATACACAATTCAATTCGGTTACCGTTGTAAAAATTAATAACTAGCACCTTCGACTTTGCTTTGATTTATTGACAATAAAAATAACGATATCTTTCGACGGGTATTTCAATTAACGTTTGCGCAACATGCGTTAAATCATAAAGCAAAGACGGGGAGAACGTTGCAATCTGTTTATTGTGAATGTTGGAACAATATTTTTGTACATTATTGATCGCTAAGACATTGTTTTCTCGCATATCGGCGATACTAAACGGAAAGTTTAAATGACCAATGTTGTAACGAGACTAACGCGAATTAATCGGATGCTATTAAAAAATAGTATCCAAATCGGGTAGGAGAGAGGAAAGTTCTTCGACGATTTATTATTGGCACGGATCTCGTCGCGACAAGTTAGCAAGAGAAATATTAATTCTAAGCACGTGCTGGTACGTGCGCGACTGTTCGTGGACGACGATGTCTGTGAGTACCTGTGTCGGTTAGCACTTGCGTAAACGGTGTCTATATAGTAGGCGTTTCTACGACCTTTGCAGTTAATATGAAAATCCTTTAAACCCTCAAAGACTGCCGTATCGTTTCATTTTTATCCACTTTTTTCATTCGCGATTCATGGAAGCTTACGTGTCCACATTTTCTATGAAAAAAGATTCATTTTTCTATTTCGCACTGCAGTTATCTCTTTATTCATCGAAAAAGAAAAACTGGACAAGTTGTGAAGTTATTAGAAATTGTAGGGGCTTTCTAGACCTGAAAGTCTACTGATTTAGAAATTTACAATTCCTGTTGTCTCGTTAGTTTCTCAGCCGTAAATCATCTGTTAGGATAAAATACGTTGCCGGAGTAATCGAGTAATAAATAATTTTTTGTTCTTGATAGACTGTGAAGTCTTTAGAATAAAGATGATCTCTCGGTCGAAGAGAAAAATCCGTGTTGGATTTATATTCTATTGAATCTGGTCGGTTTTGTTGTTTTGTGGTTTACTAGGCCCGTAATGGCATCCGCGTAACGCGTAGGGATTACGCGAGCAAGGGTGTGTATTGCCGAGGAGGGTGTCTCGTATGTGTGACCCCTCTTCACCCGACCACTCCTGGCCCGGTCTGGGCCAGGTCGTCGGCGGATGTGCGGGGAGCACTACGCACGCCTATTTACTGCGGAACAGCATCGCCGGAGTCGAAATCTTTACCGACGTTCAACGACCTCTGACCCTGGCAAGACGTGCCTCCCTTCCCTTTCCCAGTTAGGGGAGGACGACGAAAATTTCCTCCAGCCTCGAGCAAACGTTTACCTCTGCTTTCTTTTGTCCTTCTCGTTGCTCCGCGAGGTCCTTGCTCGAGGAAATACTCTTATCCTTTTAAGGATCTCCTTGAATCCGGTGGTTCAATAACCATTCGTCTCTTCGGCTCTCTGCGAAGTCGTTCATGATGCATGGCACAAACTATCGATCGAATTTTCCGGCTGCAGCAGACTCGTCGATGCTACCTAGTAGTTCATTCATGATCAAAGTCCCGTCCACTTTTATTTCCTTTTACTCGTCGACTACATTTTCATAACAGAGCACGAGTTCATAATTAGGTTTTGAATACACTGTTTAGCGTTATAACTCGTGGCGATATAATGTATGGAAGTAAACGCGTTAAAAGTACAATGCGTTGAATGCAACGTGTAGCGATACAATGCGTGACAGTAAATGCTCGGAAGTGCAGCTCGCGACAGTAGGCTTAATAACGCAACACATGGTAATGTAACGCGTAGCAATATAACTTTACAATACTGGGAGAGCGCCATTGACGCGCATGAAAGTCCACGTCCGAAGGTGACAATGCAACAAAAGCCGGCTATATTCGGAAACTCGAAGAAAACGGTGTACGCGAAAATATTGCGAAACAAATGGTCCTACAATACCGGCCGACCTACGATTCTAATTTCTCTGTCACGCGTCAACAGTACATGGTCGGCCATCGGCGGGCTGACCATGCCCAACGTACTCTTTGCCCTCGGTGATCTCACGGTTAGCGGCAGATACCTCGTAACCGAGGCCATTGACGATGTTACAAATCGTTTGCGAACTTCTTGCTAGCATAGTTTTCGAACAGCGTCGTTGAACCGTTTGCCATTGAACGTGCACCTTAGCACACCTTGGAAAAGGGCGTACCCCGCAAGAAGAGCCGCTTCCTGCATCCGCAGCAGCGTCACAGCAGCAGCGGCAGTAACGCGGAGTCAAAATCTTTATAGACGTTCAATGACCCCGACCCTGGCCAGACGGTCGTAGGGTGATGTTGGTAGGTAATGGTGGTAGTGGTGGTGGTGATGCTGGTGGTGGTAGCGTAGAGAGAGGGATGAAAGGGGTTGGGTGACTGGCGTACGTACGTACGCTATGAGCTTACGACGTGCAGTACCAGGTGGGTGGTTTGCGCGAGTGGGGGATGCCGAGGGCGGTGGTGGATAGCTGCTAAACGAGGGATGGTGGTTGCAGAGGACGATAGAGAAGGGATGGTAGGGCGGTAAGGGGAGAGAGGGCGTCGCCTGGCATCGGGTCGTCAACCTTTCTGCGGCACTGCGACGTCGGGGTCGTTATTATTTCCTCCTCCTCTTGCTTCCTCCCTCCTATACACCTCTTGCTGCTTCTCTCCTTTTCTTTCTCTCTCTTTCGCTCTCCCCCTCCTCTCTATCTTATATCTTCCTATGGGCCCCTTCGTCTTTCCCTACTACTCATCGGCTTCTTCTTCTTCTCCTCTTCTTCCTTCTGCTTCGTCTTCTTCTTTGCCTTCTTCTTCGCCTTCTTCTTCGTCTTGCTTCTCGCAGTTTCTTCCCTATGTCTGGAACCTCTGGCCATGTACTTTGAACTTCTTCCCCGAGCTTTCTGTTCCGAGGCATCTACCACTCGATGGGGATCAACTGTTTTATGATGCACTTCGATGTTCCTTTTGATCGAGACACTTGTTAAGCGGAACTATCGATCATTTATTATTTGGATTTATTGGCGTATAGTATTCTTGTTGCATCGCGTACATTGTCGCGCGTACACTCGCCGTAGCCTTTCCTAGAGAAAATAATACGGGGAAAAAGAAATTTGGAGATTCGAAAATTTTTGTATTCTAGGGTTAATCCATTCGACCGGTCAAATTAGCCTAGTTGTTCGTCCACTGTTCGCCATCGACGTGGGAAATGCATCCATCTCGTAGAACCGATCGATCGTCGTAGCGTCCAGTAGCGCGCACAGATATTTCTTCTTCGTATCTTGCGGTCTCCCCTGCTCGACCTCGAATCATCCGGACGTTGGCCTTGAGAGTTCAGGCCATTGACCCGGACCGTGTCGGGCGTTGACCTTGAACAATCCGGCCATTGACCCCGTCTAACGAATTAACACTTTGTCAGCGTGTCGGGGTAAACGAAGGATACTACGTACTCCTTTTCTCGCAGCGATGCTGTGATCTCAGGATCTTGAACAAAATGCCTGTATAGTACTTTTGATTTTTAAATTTTCGCGAGAATAATTCCGTAGTTGAGAGGCAGACTTAAAAGGAAGCGGTAAAACAACGGCTCTGACACATTTTCTGCGTAAAACGTGATCAAGTAGGAAAGAGCAAAAACGGACTCGAGTTAAGCTGCTTCTTAGGTACAAATCATAAGACGCGTTGCAAAAAAGGCATCCTTAACCGTTTGGGAAAGATTAGCGGAAATCTGTGACGTTGACCTTGAACGATACCAACGATGACCTTGAACGATCGTCACGTATGGCAGAAGCGACTCGAGGGAGACGCTGAAGAAGGGGAGAAAGGACGAGAGTGGCACTGAATTTATAAATTTCGTTATTAACGCCGCTACTCCCTTTACTGTGTTTAACGCGCCACTCGTTTTCGCTCATCCTGCGTGTGACGTAGAATTTTTATCAATTCCGCGAGCCAGCCAGCCGAGCAGAAACGAGAAGGGGCTCGGACGTGAACATTTACAGCTTCCGGTGTATGCTTACTGAGACATGAAAGCAAGCTTCTCCGGCAAATTTCGAAAAAAAACTTTCTGCTCCTCTGAAAGACATCGGGATCGATATTAACGCATTCCGTGATTCGTGAGTTTTCTTCCGTAGTTGTTGCAACGCTGTCGTTGAACACTCGTTATATTGCCACCTGTACGCGGACTTTTCGCGGACATTAGAAGCGCTTCCCCATGGAAGAAGCGTTATATAGTTACGATGTATTGTCATGCATTGTATCACCATTCATGGCACCGTTACGCGTTAAATTACCACGCGTTGTATCGCAAAGCATTATATCCGTACGCATTGTGTTTTCACGCATTATATCGCCATGCGTCGTCTTCGTGTATCATTTAATACTTTTTAATGCATGCTTATGACGTTCGGTTTACGAGGATAATATTTTGAAGGCGGCAAACTGCGATCGCGTTGGTCATATTAAAAGAAGGTAGAGCAATGTACGCCGTAGCGAAAGGATTAAATATACCTGTCTCGGGTACTTATAATTGCTGTTTACGACACCGAGGATAACGCTCGTAATCGTAATGCAATACAGTTTATTATATTCGCAAGGACCGTGGCTCTTTTAGATACCCCCGAAAAAGGAGAAATGCGTGTCACGTGAAATCCAGACGAGAACCGGTTTTCGGGGCCATCGGGTGGCCAAGATGCTCGCAACGGGGCCCTGTCCTGCTCCTGAAATCCTTGTGCTTTCCACTGGCCGAGGATCCAGCAGGCTATGCTTCTAGCGAAACGAGATTTTCGATAGCCTTCGTCTTCCATGCGCCTGATCATCGTCCGTGTATCGGATTGTGAACGATGCGTGTAATCGAGAGGATCCTTCTGTTACACCGCTCTGAAAGATTTGAGCATCTCGGTCGACCGTAGATAGAAGTAACGTTGATCGATTTTCCCTTAGTTACGTATATCGAGTTTCCGGGTTGCTCTTATTTTTATTCCAAACATCATCAGGAATACCCGAATGTTTCATCGTTCTTTGAAAGTTTTAAAAACCG